GTGTAGGCGTTCGACGACCACCCTCCTAGAGTAATCGATCTGTTCGTGCTACGCGGGCAGCATGAACAGCTCGGTCGACTTCCCTGTTCACGTCCCGAAATTGCTGCGCAAGGGTAAGGATATCTTGCCTTGCGCCTTCCAGCTTCTCCAATCCATCAAATGGCATACGCGGCTTAACATGATCTAGAAAGTGTTTACTAACCTTGTCTCTATCAGACTCTTCCGGTCTAGGGGTAGCGGCCACCGATGAGTTAGGGCTTCCAAGTGGTGTCACGTTCTCTTTTTCTTTGGAGACCGGGACATCGTCACTAGCAGTTTCCCACATGTCTTTGTCGTCTCCGAGTCCATTAGGATTCCAGCGACTCCATTCAGGGAAGGTTCGTCCTAGTACAGAAGTATTGATGTTTAGAGAGGATGGCGGAGGGGCCTTGGCGCTGCGCATGGCAGCTTGGCTTGGTAGGTCGATAGATAGGTCGTCCATTCGTCGCGTTGATTCGGCTTGTGGACCGGTAATATTTGAGGTAAGTGTGATGGTTCCGTGGGAACCAGTAGATGAAGGTGGTGAATTGAAAGGATTCTCAGTATTCTGATGCATCTCCCTAAGGATGCGAGACTGATATCTGCTCGTTTTCGACTCCATGTAATCCGTCACGCGTTAAACGCGATTAGGATGGAATCGAAGGATATAGTAAAACTAAGGTACCAACTAGGGCAATATGATGATGCGTAGCATCAAGAGACGCGTAAAGAAGCGCGTAAATATAGGTGAGCGATTCAGTTGCGATACTAGAAGAGGGGTGCGGGAAAATTGATGATGCTGCAGGCGTTGCCGAGCAGATGCGATGGTTGAGGAAAGACGCGTCCAAGCAATGATCAATGTCAGAGCAGGAGCAGGAGGGTAATGAATCAATTGTTTCCAATATAGTATTTGCAATGAAGCAGAATTGGTTATGCGAAAAAGCTTTGGAAGTAGCTGATTAACAAGGTTGTGTGTTGAATCCGAAGTTGTGTGTGCCTTCTGTTGATGAATTATGAGAAGAGTGAAAATGGAGGAGAGATCGAATTGATGTTTACGTGCCAAGTTATGGGGCGCGAAAGACGGTGGGGCGTGGGGTGCAATTGCGGTAGTCACGTCCTTAAGTACTTTCCATTTTGCCTTGAATGTTTACATACACTCAGGTACCCCAGGGGCGTGCATTTACGCTAGCAATCTGGTTGCTAGGGGCCTAGTAGCATTCAAACAACCCTAGAGGCATCTTAATACGCTCAGTGTTCGCGAAGATGCAGCACTTAGGTTAGGCTATTGCATTGTCCTAAACTATGTACATTAGGTACCTAACCTTTAGGTGCACGTACCACATGTACATAGGTACATAGGTAGGGTAGGTACGTACATCACCTCCAGAGAAGCAATCCCTGTGAAAATCAAGAAAGCTCCCATTGGTTCATAAATTTAGTCTTGCAATTTATTGAAGTTCGTCAATTGATTATGAATTGACATGTACTTAGTACCCGAGTAACCAAGTACATCACCAAGGTTATCCATATTGAATACTACCTGTATTGAATACAACACTTTATTCTTAGAGAAACTCCTCCATTTACTCATACGCACGCCTGTGTCCTCAAGTGCCAGCCAGACACGGTGGAATATCTCTCAAAAAGTTCACCATTAATTTTGATCGGACATACCCTAGGTAGATTTACTCCACCATGTCTTTCTGTTACTTGATGACACACCAAGATATTATCTATTAAAGATACTATCTTCATACTACAATCCGAGACTAAAATATGCTCTCTTTAATTATCTTACGAATATCTTATAGTTATATAGGTTTCTGTGGTGTCCCCCCGGTTGCTTATATCTCCTCCAGGCACGACACCCGGGGTTCGTAGTCCACCATAGCTTTCGAAGCTACCCATTTCCTTCGAGACGTCAAGCTGTGTAACCTATGATATATATAGATATTCGAGTCCCTGCTAAAGTAATTATTCAAGATCAATGATTAATATAACGTACCTAGTGTCCCAACCATCTCAAATTTATATTCTCTGAGTCCATGTAATAAACAGGTAACATAGTCATGATTTCAGGAAGAGTTACTTAGGTAGTTCCCATATATCCATATACATTAGTTACCTGGTTTTTGAGGGTATGTTATTTAATATATTGTAAGTGAATCGGGATTCGGCCGCGAAAGTGACTATATGTAGGTAGCCATCGGAATCACTAGAGCCCTTACTTCCTGTTAGACACAACCTCATGGCTTCCAAACATGGAATACGCTGGGTTTCCATGCACTTGAATGCAAGTGGTCTGATATATGAGAAAGTTTAACTGGACGGATAAATGTGTAAGTTAACAAGACTTGTGATACTACAATCATCGATGTTTCAATGCTGTGAGTATGTTCGACTTGTTTCCGTCATGATATATAAAGACTCGATCGCCAGTAATTGAGACACCTCCCTCACGATCATCAGAATATACGTCAGAATATAGACAACAACCACCCAAAACATTCACGAAATCACTCACAATGTTCACCCAACCTATCCCGACCCTCGAATTCGGCCTTCTCCTTGGCCTCTACCTCTGGGACTACACTGACAGCGAACAAGCGAGAACACTCGCGAGGCAATACCAACCTTTTCCCTTACCGTCAAAAGAGGATGCTCGATACAGCCCTTCCGATGTTTCCATCGTTGTACCAACTATCGACTGGGATGAAACCCTTCCCAGCAATCTCATAACCTGGCTTACCAACAATCCCCGCGAGGTAATTTTCGTGACCGTTGACCGCGAGCTACCAAGGCTACAAGACGACCTTGAATCTGCCCCTGGCGTCAAGAAGGCGATGGAAGAAAGCCGAGCAAAAATCCTTGTCCTCTCGGTACCCCAAGCCAACAAGCGAACTCAGCTATGTCGAGGCATTGACGAAGCAACAGGCAACATCATCGCCCTCGTCGACGACGACGCCCTATGGACAACTCAGGACGTACTAATAAATCTGCTTGCCCCTTTCCAGGACGAAAATATAGGTCTTGTTGGAGGACCCATTGAGTCGCACGTACCAAAGGAACGCCAGAATTCCGAAGTCATCACTGGCTGGGAAGTTGCCGCTCTTAGAATACGACAGAGGCGAGAAAATGGCATGGCAGCCTTCTACGCCGCCGACGGCTCAACGAACTTCACAGTTTCGGGACTTACAATGCTGTTGAGAGCAGAGATAGTAAAGGATCCTTACTTTCAGCACCTCTTCACAAACGACATGTGGAATGGAATGAGGCAGAATACTGGCGACGATGGGTTCATCACACGTTACATCCTCTACCAGCATCACCTCACCGACCGCTTCAGGTCCGCTGTTGTACCAAAGCAATGGCGACTTGGCATTCAACTCAACCCTGAGGCTCGAGTCTTAACGAGCTTGATGCGAACCAGTGCTTTCGCCCACCAGAGCAAAAGATGGTACCGATCCGGGCTTAGACTACGGCTCACTTGCCTCATATACGAGCCGGGATACCGTATGATGAAAGCAACAGCGCCTTATATGACTCGAAAGATGGCTGGAGGCATGTTAACCCCTATTTTCACCATCGTTCGGGCATATCTTTGGTATAGATTGTGGGCGAACTCTCCTTGGTTCGCACTGGCTTTACTTTCTTATGTTCTGTATAATTGGTTTTCTAGCCTTTATACATTTTACCGGCGGTTTCCATACTGCGGTTCGAAGATATGGGCTGCCATGATCGCCGACAACTTGTATCTTGTCGCCGATTTCTATTCCTGGGCGACCCTATCTACCGAGTCGTGGACTAATAGATCAAGTGTCTAAAAATCGCTTCATAAGATGCCGGTGAGGGCGAGTGCTATGTCATTATTTTATGAGGGAAACCTAGGGATGTATGAATGCTGTGCGTTGTGATAGTTTAGTAACAGTTTAGTAACAGTTCGATATAACCCTATGCTAGATGTGAACAGCGCCATTGTCTAGGTTAGCCGCTGTCTTTGACTAGGAAATTACATAGTTTACAATAATAAACCTAGACAATTGACTGTAACGCGTTCAAGCCTATTTTCCATGTACAATTTCTTTGTTGACTATACCGTTTACCTAACCACATCTTTGTATTTTTATAGTATCCCACACGAGTAAAGTTTACTCCTTGATATTCCTGACGGGTGGATTACATAGGTAAACAATATCCTATAACTATTCTTAGATCTCGAATTGTCACCTTTCGTGTTATTCTGAATATGAGGTATATGCTGTATAAGTAGACTTGGCTGGATACGACATAGTTGCTAACTACCTCGTAAATGTCCTTATATAGATTGAGCAGAATGCAGGGGGCGGCCCTCGCAAACTCAAACTGAAATGGCAGTATACATGTAGACCCGTATCATCCCATCACAAAGTAAGATAAATAGCGTTACCATATGACGTGAATTGGAAATTATGAAACAGCTGCACGTGGGAATTCATACAGTCATACAGTGGTAATTCTCGATCTACACCTTCAAAGCTCACCGCAAAGAGGCTAAGCCATGTTTGCAAGGTAGCCCCCTACAGGTCTCTAGGATGATAGCGGGTCGTGGAAGGAATTGCATGCAGAAACTGCGGAGAATATTAAACGATCTGACCACTCAAATAAGTTTCCGCCAAATAAGCATAATTGATAAAGCATGTCGACTGGTCGATCTCTAGATCGGTTGTCTTTAGGTTCTAAAGCTGCATATCCCGCTCGTGCCGCTCAGCCGTTCAGCCTGGTTCCAGCTGAATCTAAAAATAGACCCTAACATTACTGCTCAGCTATGACTTCACTGGCTGAATCCTTCCCATACTAACCAAAGCTCAACTTGCGGCTCTCCACATTGGCATATCCTTCTGTAGGCAATGATAGTCTCTTGTTATGACTTCATATCGTTCAAAGCCTCATTCCTATTGACGTTGAGATTTAATTGTAGAAACTCCGGAGGAAGTATTACTACTAATGGAAATTGGTAGTATCGCCACGAAGGCACAGACGAGATCTGCAATTATAGAGCTGAGTAGTGGAAAATGAAGATCACTGTTTTTACGATCGTCATCGCGACTCTGAGGAGGAAACATAAGAGATAGAAATGTGTATAAATAAAGGGGTCATCTTCTTGCCATTATACCGTATCATTCCTCGACATCAGAACACAACACCACACAGAAAGCTACTCTGCCTTCTAAACAACTCAACTTAATTCTTTTACAATGTCGCCCACAAAATCCGCCGGCCTCGTCGGCCTCGCAACTCTTCTACTCCAAGTCAGCGCCTACAAGCTGACCGCCTATACGGAGAAGGGATGCACCGGTGATGTCCAGCAGACCATCGAAGACACCAAATATGGCGCCTACTGCCAATACTTCGACGACAAGGCCGTATCAGTCAAGGTAGAAGAGTCTGGTGACGATTACCAATGGATTTTCTTCAACAACTGGTGCAGTAAAGACGCCCAGGTCGGTTCGTTCGTTGGAGACGGTTGTATGACCATGGGAAAGACGGAGATTAAGGGTGTGAGTAACGTCTTACCTGAGGGTTCTCCAAACAAGCGAGCTTCTCCTGGCACTGTAACAACTTGGAAGAGCACGGACTGCTCTGGTACCTCAACGTAAGTTATCTTCTTCCCCTGCCTACACTTCTTCGTGATATCCGGGCTAACAGACTTACTCTACAGCAATCAAATGCGATTCGTCCAGGAAAACCTTCCTGTCACCCTGAATGACGTCTCATCTATCAAGGTGAATGATGTACCAGATGCGGACGTTGCTTTCGCTTGCAGCGACTCCGACTGCCATGTTGAGAACCAAGTTGCAACTCTCGAGAACGGCAAGTGTGTCAACGTCGAAGGCAAGGATGTCAAGTCTGCCATGGCTATCGGAGTACCTACTCCCCCCAGGGGCCGGGATGTATCACCGAAGCGCCGTTACACACGCAGCCTTATGTTAGAGGCGCGAGAACGAGATGCTGCTCTGGGGATCCGCGACGACGGCATCGAGTGCGACGCTAGTGACGGACCTGACTACCAAGATGCCCTTAAGGTTGGCGACGACTGGCAGGGAGACAACGGGCTATCGTGCTGCTGCCACGTCCCTGGTGGACCTACCTCGAAGTCTTCGGGCTCGGCTAAAGCCTCTTTCAGTGAGAACATCCGGTGTCCCGCTGACCCCTCCGGCATGCCGCCGCCACCCACCACTTGCCCCATGAACTGCAACACGCTGAGGGGCTACGTCTACGCTATCGCTACCAAGTGCAAGACCGATGATGGCAAGACTGGCGGTACATACAAGCTCGCCGGTGATCAAGAGATCAAGGTGACCCACAGCTAAATGATGATGTACTGGATGAACGACTTCAGCTACGGCAGTGATGGATATTTTACGACTAGATATGCCTTATCTCGTTATTGTTAAACACAGAGGTGATATCTGTATTATTATGTACTATATACAACTTTTGAATTGATACTCTGTTAAACCTATCTCCAAGAAGATTTCTTGAAAGGTGTTATATGCTTGTGGGTGTAAACTGTACCTTGATCCATTCTATCTACACAAGCAGCACTCCGGCAAGTTTGTATCAAATAATAAACTTCAAAGCCTTCTACGAAGACACCCATAAATAATATCCGTCCTGGTAATGATGAAAACTTGGTTTTAGTAGCGAGCTTCTAGGCAAGTACTAGGATATATAATTAGGAAGCATGGGTAAAGCCATGTTCATGCTCTTCGAAGTGGTGTTAATGGGTACATGGTCTCTAGGACGATTTAGGTATACCATCGTCATGGCGATTCACATCTAAATTCGTAGCCTAATCACGAAAGAAAATATTTCCAAAGAACACAAGTGCAAATTGGGCAACTGCTGCATGAACAAGAATAATGGTAGCCTGAGCAACATTCTCTCGTGTTCCTGAAGAGTCTAACCCTCCCTCAACTCCTTCCCATTGTTTATCCTGCTGACATCCAAGGGTCAATAAATGTTATGTTAGCAGCACAAATTCTCTCTAACCAGTCTAACCTTACACTTGGCTTGGGTGAAACCGTCGTCACTCAAAGAGGTCATCCATCTTCAAGTTTAGGAATCGAGGTTTAGTACCTACGCAGGCAGATCCTTCTATCTCGCGATACTTCGATACTAGACCACAGGATCAAGAGAGGTAAGCTACAAGATTTCCCAATAATTACGCACCACACTACTATACTTCGGTATGCCCTCTATGGATGACAAGTGTACATGCCTACTTGCCTACTCCCACCCCGTTCTGAATCAACTTCACCCCTATCACAACTAAACTTGACCTCCGTCTAAAGCAGCAGAACACTTCGACATCGCCATACTAACTAACATTCTAAAAGGCGAGATTTGACACGCAAGCCGAAGTCCATTAGCCTTACAAGTAAATCAGGCAAGCACTCAAAAACCGCCTTGAGCCAGCCGACCATTCAGCCACCAGTCTTCCACCAAGCCTATCAAGAAATCCTAGCCATAACCGCACTATTACCTCCGACTTCCAACTAAGCCGCCATATCAGGTCTACACCAGCTCATTCTACCAGCCCTTCTTCACCTTATCCAACCCAAAGCCCAAGATGTGCACCCAGTACTACTCCAGCTTCACCCAGTGCCCCTGCCAACTAAAACGCCTCTTCTGGCGCTGCAAGCACGGCCGCGCCTCGCCCAAATGCAAGTCCGTCCAGAAAGTCGTGCTCAAGTCCGGCGAGCCGCTCTGCTGGTACCACGAGATCGTACACCAGTGCCGACGGGACCGCAGCAAGCGGCTCTGGCGCCGCAACACCCGCAACCTATGGTGCTCGTACGAGCCGCGCCCGCTGTGCCGCCAGTCCGTCTCCTCCGCCGCGGCCGCCGACGAGTCTCTCTTTCCGCCCCCGGACGACCCCTACGATTCTTCCTGCTGGGAGAGCGAGCCGGACCCGGACCCGGAAGACGAGGAGGAGTCGGAGTGCGAGTGCGAGTTGGATAGCAGCTCTGGCTGCGAGTACTCGGGTGAGGAATCGATCAGCGAGATGGACTAGGAGTGAGGCTTGCGTGGCCTTAAAACTCTCACTTGGTTGGTTACCTACTACCCAGTACCTATGTCGAGGAGAAGTACGACTCTTGCCTCCTGGCCAGTTCTACGATGAAATCACCAATATGTTGAACGAACGAACGGTTTCTTTCTCAAGAGCACCACCCTACGGCCTCTAGAACCGAACTAGTTGAATCGTTATGAACTGAACTGAACTGAAGATTGCGTTTACACCCACTGTTTATGTCAAGGACACCATGTCGAAGCAACTCGGTTGAAGAAGACTGTCTTTGCAATGTTTCTTTGCTTCTGTTTTCTCTTTTGCATTAGTTGATAATTGGAAGAACTCGTCCACCTTACGTCAAACGATGAGGCAGTCTGCGGCGATATGCTGCAGTCTTGCCAGGATCAAATCCCTCGTATCAGACGTATTTGCTTTGCATGTAACTAGTTCGCCTACTTTTGTTTTCTGATGAGCACCCTTCTATAAAATTGCAGTCATTCAACTTGTCTTAATAATACATTCTCAATCTTGCAATTTGTTCTCAAAGGGGTCGACGGTTGGTAGTGGCACTTAGTCAACCTCACGAATGGGTATCCATACCCTCAGTCTGGTCTTTACTATTCTTTATGACTATCTTGCAAGTACTCGGCATTTTGCTACGAGTCTTACGTACGAGCTATTACCCGGTCTTCAACTTAGCATGTCGCGTATACAGTATTAATGAAATAAGAGACATCAAATACGGTGCTAGGGGTTTGGAGGTGTACAAAATTTTAGCCCAGACCTTTATAAACCCCCAAGAGACGTTTGCAACGCAAGTGATGATCCTCTAACCAAGTTATGTATATTAAAATTCATAACCTCATATATTCTATGACTACAGTTGCCGAAACAGCGAGTCGTCGAGTATTTATCTACTCTTAGTCCCCCTTCCCGATAAAGATTATTGTATGCGCCACGCTATCATTAACAAAAGCACCGCCCATTTTAACTTATCCCGTCTACGTAAATCGCTTCGGCTTGCTTCCAGGAACGGGGTATATCGATGTCCTGAACTCCAAGATACTCCCTTATCCCATACCTGATACACCCAATCTATTTCCAACCCGGTTCTCCGGGATACCTCCTGCCGCCAACACCCGTTGTTATAGGGCTCTGCCTCCGATCTTTATACCGCCTTCGGTCTCGCGAGTCCCTTTCGTCAGCCGTAACAACTCTCCTCCCATCCCAATCAAAATCGGAATCTCGATCCCTATCCCTACGATCCCAGGTGTAGTCTCTATTTCTCCTCTCAATATCGGCATGGCTGCTCACTCTTCTAAGCTCCGCTGGTCGCAGATATGCCCTTTCTCGACTTCTTCTCCTCTCTATCTCTTCTTCTCGTTCACGCTCTCTCAGGAGTTCCTTTTCAATGACTCGATCGCGGATCCTCCCATGCTCGCGGTCACGTCGTACTGGATATTTAGAGACCCCTGCTTCAGACTCGTCGCTGGGATATGACTCCCCGGAAACGCTTCGGCTGAGTCGTGACGGATGCTCTCTCCGAAAGCGCACGGCCGGCGCAACATTTGGTGGGTGACGCTTCTCACGAGAATTGCTTCGTTGCCGCTCAGAGGATCCGGAAAGGAAGGAGGTAACTTTCTGCTTTATCTCCGATGGCAAGCTTCTTCTGTGAACATCATCTGACCGTACATCCGGCCGTATCTCGCTACGATGGGAACGAATCGGAATAGGTGGCGTTATAGGAGCCACAACTGGCACACGGCGAATGATAGGGGGAGCCGGTATAGGACCATGTACTCGCGACTTGGAGCTGGCACGAGGCGGTACGTCGGAGTCGGAATCTGATTGCGAGGCGGAATAGGGTTTCGAATGGCCATGGCGACGTGGAAGATGCGGACGGCGAGGATCAAGATGGCTTGAAGGACGGGGATCATCCATCTCGGAACGGCGAACCTCTGAAAAGCTTGGACGTCGAGGCGGCCGATCCGGTGAACTACTACTGCTACCACCAAGAGAACTGCTGCCACTGTTGCTGCTGCTCATCCGTCGCGGTCTTGGTGGTGGTACGTTCCTGGAAAAATAGGGATCGGCGTAATTACTTCTCGACACATGGGCATATGAGACGGGCCGTTCTCTTTGAAAATAATCCATTTCCGGTCTTTGACGAGGCGTGGAAGTGTTGCTTTGCGGGTTTCGCACATGCGTGAAAGTGGTATGAATCCGGGGTTCAGAGTCACGCCGTCTAGGTGGATGTTCATCTTTAGGAGTAGCGTCTTCCCGTAGCTTTCGCGCGCATTCCTTATGCCAAGCATCTGTCTCGGGATCGCATTCGGCTGGAAAGGCCTCTGCTGGTAGATCAGCTGGAAAGGGTCTTCCGGTGTCGGGGTGTACTAAGGCCCAGTTGCGCACAGCGAATTGCATGAATGGCACATGTTCTTGGGGTTCCAGGAGAAGCTGGATTGTCTGCCATCGTACGAACCCATTCAATGTTAAGGCCGGAATAGCGGGTGCTTCGAAGGGGTTCTCAGTCGGTTGTAAGGTATGCTGGACGCCCAGAGCTTGCCAAATATAAGATATGGACTTATAGGGGCAGTGTAGAAAGAGCTGGTCATAATCACCACCGACAGCACGATAAAAGGCGGCTAATTTTGTCGGGGTTAGAGCATGATCATTGGTATCGCCAATATTGGCAGACTATAGAGTCTTTAGGTTAGCGAAACAACTCTAGGTACCTGACATATCAAGGAGGTAAGCAATGATATGCGAAAATAAACGAGACCTACGATGTATTCTCCGATAGCGCGGAGTAGCGCATCGAGTATAGGAGTCGGTAATTTCCCATTAAACAGATAGCCATAATATTCTTTGCCATCAGGTTCCGACGCCTTCGCCTTCGCCTTCGACTGCGATGGCGAAGTTGGCGAAGTTGGCTGGGATTGCGGCTTGGGATGATGAGGTGTATCGTTAGAAGTTGCGTGGGTTGCGTGGGTCGCGGGGGTCGCGGTGGGTTTACTGTCGTCGTCAGGCTTTAAGCTCGCCATCTCTACTTGTTCATAAGAAGCGTCGATGACGAGTGGAAAAGCATCGAAAAGAGAAGCGAATCGGAAGCAGTCAGAGCGTGAGAGATAATGCGAACACGTTGAATTGAATCAAGAGATTCGTTGCGGAAATAAAAGCGCAAATTGTATTATGGAATAGATAGATAATAGATAGATGGTCGATCCTACAACGTTCAGGGGATAGTTGATGACTGCGTCACTCGCAAATGGACAACGACTGGAGCCGCTGCGTCACAAAAATAAAGCGACATTCAGAACAATACGAATTGTGTGGAAGATAGGTAAGTAAGTAAAGTAGGTAGATTGATTAGGTAGATTGATATAGTTGTTATATGTAGGCTATTGACCAGCCTCAACAAGACAGACGATCGACGAAATAAGTCGAATTCATCTAGAGTTGTACGGATGCAACTGCAGATGATGATTCATACTGGCACAGCCGTAAAACCGTGGATTGTTGGGTATGGATTCTTGGAAGTCTTGGAAGAAATGTTCGACGCACTGCATTTTTATTTGAATGGTGGGATGATATGTCGACAGCCCGCTTCCATGGGGTTAAAAAGCATGGATTAAAGATAGAATTGACCAAGGGCAGGTTTACACTACAGCTTTGAACCAGCAACAGGAACAGGAACAGGCTTTGGGTGAGTAAAAAAAAAAAAGAAGAGTACCCCGCGCCAAATTGCCTGCTGACACGTGCACCGGAATATATGCCTGACGTAATTAGTGGTATAGGGTACAAAGTATTGTACCTGTACCTGTACCTGCCTAACCTAAGGCAAATGCCCCATAACTCTATTTACTATTTACCTCTATTTGCCCTCCTATTGTCCTACCTATCCTACCTAGACTTACCTGTGTCCTAATTCAGATTCAGGTATAATTCCGCCTTGTTAGGCCTAACAGGTGCGACATGATGATGCACACTTTGTACGCGCATAACCGAACACATGTACCTATGCTAGTACCCGAATCTTGCACAACCACCTGCACTCACCACCAAATTTTCCCTGTTCCCTGCCACTTACATACATCTTCGTATCAATTTATTTCGGTATCTCGTCCAACAATTCCAAAGCAACCAACCAATCCAAAACCTGCCGTAATGTCCCGGCGTACTATGTATATCGCTCGTCAAAGGCGATTACTCACTATCCCTGCAACATACGAACAATCTGCCAATCCAATTCCTACCCAAGAATTCGATTGGGTTATAACAGCATTTCTATTTGTCTAAATCATGGCTGTGTGTAGCTCAGCCATATATTTATTATTATACGATATACGATAGGTAGGAAGTGCACTAACTATTCCCAATCTCCTGGGACCATCATTCTGCATCGGAAGAAATTATACATGTCCTATGAGCCGCACTCTTCTCCCTTCACCCTTCATTGGCAAGGCACTTTATTCTTATTAAATATGCCATCAAGGTGAAACTTTGGCTTTTTGGCCAGGCGACTCGAGTACGAACCCAACAAGAGTAATGTCGTCTACGACACCCACCCGTGTATCAGGCCCAGTCCACCTAGTAAATTCTCGGAATCCAGCCTTCTCGAGGACATGTTTACTGGCCGGGTTATCATCATCGGCCATTGCTGACAGCATTTCCGGTACCTCTCCAGATCCATCCACCGATTCCGCAGCCACCTCAATCTCAACCTCGGACCGTGGCAAAGTCCACCAATGGTCTACAAATGCCCTCAGGAATTCCGTGGCGTATCCTTGTCCCCAATACTCTCTCTTGAGCATGTAAGCAATCTCGGGCCATCCAAAGAATAGATCGATTTTCGGCATCCCACCCGTCCCGATTATTTCTCCGGTCGAGGCGAGGCAAAGTACGTTATGATAGGTCCGAATATCGTTAGGCGGTAGGTAGCGCGCCAAATATGATGCCCGTGTCTCATCCTTGCTGGCATCAATTCGACCAACCGCCGTGAAGTACATAACCTCCGGTTGAGTACGTAGGGTATAGATTCCGTCAAGGTCCTCCTCGGTAAACGGACGGATAACTAGACGCTCCGTGCGTATATGTTTCCTTTCCGCATTGGGTGGGAACGGCTGGGTGGGTAAGTACGTCTTAACTTTGATCTTCGGAGGTTCCGCCATTGTAAGCAAGCCAATCCAGCGCCGAGTTGATCCCGATTCTTATCATCTGCCAACGCCACACCGGACTTTTTCAGGGTTTATATAAAGATTCAACATTATCTACAGCCTACATGAGGTAACTTGTGATCTCCTATATCCGAGAGCCGCAGGATTCCAGCTCCGAAGTGACTCATAACCAAACCTGGGTCACTTCGGAGCTAGAATCCTGCGGCTCTCGGATATAGGAGAAATGGCGTGTATATTATCTTCAGCTCTGTTGGTGGCACGTCTACGTCTACGGCGTCCCCAAGCCGTCGGTATTACCTAACTTGTATAGGAGCGTACACGCAAAAAAGAAACAAGCCGCTCAAGAAATTGTGTAATAACTACAAAGGTTCTTGACCGGTTTAGAAAAAAAGTACGCAGGCTATCTATGAAAAATCTATTGCATACATCCATCACATATATCACACTTCGTTGGAAGAGAAAATAGCTCCGAAGCATTTGTAGACGTCTCCTCCTCATAACTACCCCTGGAAAACCTTCGACGGTAGAGCCTTTGGCAGCTACAAGACAGCATGACAGAAGATCTCTATACAACACTGTCATCGCATGCTGGCTTCACGTCAGTTAGGATTTAAGTGATCTGAAGATGGCTCAGGTGAGCATATTTCCAATAACACGCCAAATGGCGGACATCTTCGCTGTTAGTTCGGGCTGCTTGCTTCTTTGCATTTAGGTATAATAGGTGTTATACATGACATGACATGAGGGGTCCCAAAGAGGTATACACCTCTTCTATACCTTAGGCACGCTACATAGACGCATCCTAGTCTTAAGTTGGACATATATAATACAATAACGTTAGGTAATTATTCATGATATCAGGTTTTACCTGTCTCTACGGAATCCTCCCGTATTCGACGATTTATTCCATATAATTAGGTATCTTTTCTCACCTGCCTATAACAATGGGTGACAGCAACGCTCGTAGGCGAGTTCGACCTCGTATAACTGTTACATCTACTTGTGCTCGAGAGAGATTATATCATGCTGTTTTAGAAAATAACCACGCAGATCTTCGCCAGCTCTTAGCTGAGTCCACTGCCGACGTGACTTATGAACAAGAAGGTCGGGGAACGCCAATACATATCGCTATCCGTAATAACGATGTTCCCGCCGTCGTGACGCGGGTGCGGACCCTTTACTGATGACAGGAAAAGACAGATCATCTTATTCCGCCGTGATGCTTGCAGCTCAGCGTGACCATGATGAAGCTTTCGGAGTACTATGGTCTCGCATACCCCTGAGTACATGCTAATGATTTGCTTACTTCCTGCTTGGTCTAAGCAGCGATGTATGGCAACGCATTACTAGTTGGCTGGCTCCTCGACGCGTGGGACGGATGGACGAAACAGACCATAGAGCGCACTTCTCCACGCGGTAAGTAGGTGGCAATACTATGTGGTGGATCTACTACTCAAAAAGGTTACATTTGAACAAAATCTCCTTTATAAGACCTTGTATAAGGCAGTCGACTTCAAGTTCAATTTCCCAGAGGAGTCAACGTGTCCCAAATACGATGGCGTGGATTATTTAAATCAGCAGCGGATGATCACATGGCTGATCAAGTTGGGCTTGGATCTAAATAAAGTCTTAAACGGCCGACCACTGCTGGTCCATATAGCTGCCACATATTACATTGATCTAGCTGGAGCCTTGCACGTGTTGATTGAAAACGGGGCAGATCCAAATATGAAGGACTCCCAAGGACAAACTGTTATGCATATAACTTGCCGACCGAACTCCTGTTTACATAACAACTGGTTTTCATATCCATGAAGCAGGTATTTACATGTGTATTGAGCATGGCGCTTCGGTCACAGTCGAGACTCGAAGACGACAATGGCGAGATGCCCGTCCACTTGGTAATGTACGGTTCTAACAACATGTGCTTAAGGCTCTATCTCACCTACGCACGCAACGAAGACAAAGAACTCGCCTGTATAAATAAACATGGCGAAACACTTCTACACTACGCCGCAGCGGATGCGAGGGAAGATATTATATCATACATTCTCAGCGCTAACTCGTACGATGCATACGTCAATGCGCGTAATGTCAACGGCTGGACCCCTTTGATTTGTGCCTTGCCGTCAATAGATGAAATGTTTGCCATTGAAAAGAAGACAGCCCTAAAGGGGCTCCTAGTCGGCCGGATGTTGCTAGATCACCGCGCCGACCCAAGCATTGCCACAGACGAAGGATTGACATATCTTCATTGCTTAGCCATGTATACATGTGCTGACGGCTCCGCTTCAGCCGATATTGCTGTGCTAGCTGAAGAATTCATCTCACGAGGAATTCTTCCAGATACCCCGGCCGCGGTCCTAGCGCACGACTGGTAGCAAAGGGTTGATGGCCATGGCAGTGCCTCTAAACCGCTTTTCCACGACCGTAGGCCTTTGGGTTCTCGTTTGCTACATTTCCTCGAGAATATGTCTCAGGATGCGGTTATACGTGGTAGAACGCCTCTACACTGTGCCGCCGAGGTAGGCGCCGTGTCTATGGCGAAAGCGCTCCTTAAGCACGGTGCTGATGTCTTCGCCATCGACGAGTCGGGAAGCACGCCGTTGAAATGTGTGTCCCAGTCTTTAAAGCTGCATGGTATGCCCAAACTGAAGGGTGAGATAGATGAATCGGTTGTTAGAGGGAGCAGAAGCGGAAAGGTCTAAAGTTCTACGTGAAAACCTAGTGTCGGTAATGTGGTTTCCAAGTCAGCCATAGGTGCGAGGTAACTTGTAGTTTTATAGGTATATGAAACATCCCGCTGGTAGTCATTTCTATTCTATGTATACTAGAGCTTTAGGTTATATGTTGGGCATAAACCATTACAATGTAGGCGTTTAGATATGACACTGTTAGTTAATATAAGTTGCCACGTACTTTTTACTAAAGAGACCCCAGAAAGAGTACAGGTTCTCTAGGGAGGTATGCTCTCTTTGATTTCTAGTTGCACGAGTTATGTCTAATAGTTCTAAATGTCTTAAAACAGGTAGTCTTTAGTATTGCGGTATAATGACAGACGGGTTGTATGGGTAGTATATACCTCATATACCCGCGAGTTTAATTGACATATCAGCTCTCGATTATATTGGTGACATGTCACCCCATAGAGATAAAATTACACACATGATTCTCCGTTTATGACGGCCAATGGTGTATAAGTACCTAGGAACTTCCCCTTCCGATCGCAGCGGGGAAATCACCAGTGCTTTCTACATGCCCGACTGGATGCCCGATATGTAGGGTAAGAAAGGGACGCTTTAAAAAATAAGGGACTAACAAATGCAAGATGGCGGTTAGTGTTTTATCTTGATTACATTTCAGTGAATAACTTTGCTAAGCAGTACCCAGACCCTTCCTAGAAAATCATCTGAAGCCTCAGATGTCAAGATTAAAGTTGGAGAAACAGAGCATCTTGTCAATATCGATGATTTTCCTTACTTCAAGGCCTTCCTGGATTTCCAGCAAAAGTCTGGCCAGGATACAACTCCTGTGCCGACTCATGGTGATATCCCCTTTTTCGATGTCATCAACTACGGAGTATCCAACGGATTCCGGCACTTCTTTCGCCGCATGCCTGTTCAACTCTCCGACTACCATACGCTCTGCGAAACCCTCGAATTTCTTACTATCGATGTCCTCGCAGGGCAAAAGCTGCGTGATATCATGAATGATCTGAGGAAGTGCAAATCCGACTACGATGAATACGATGGGACTGGAACCAGGGGGCAAAAAAGCATTGCACGAGACGCGGCGTTTAGGCTCTTGTATATATTTCTCCTCGGCGAGTTCGAGTCGGAGGTGCAGGACAGGGCAATGGCCTATAATGCAGCTCTGTTTGTGGTATCTCACCCTGGGACTTTCAAGCAGAGAACCCGGAAGATGGTTCGAGAAGCGTTTGAGGAAAGATTTCTCGTCACGGAGAAGCAGAAAAAAGGGTTGGACAGTTGGCCTGTCTCTGGTCCTTCTGAGGACCCAGAGGACGATTGTACTACCGAGGAGGACTCTGATTACTTTGTCGACTCTGACTATGCATATTGGAGCTCGGACTAGATGCGAAAGTATTTCGCTATGTATTAGGTGCGGGTACGGTATGAGTTGGCGCAAGTAGGTATAATTGGTATACCATATAGGGGCTCAGGGGGAGATTCGATACGTGACCTTTAGACACAACTATATGACGGTATATAGATAACACTATGGGTCAAGTCTTTGAATAGGCACCTGGGTAGTATTAGTCTAGGACATCACCGTTCGGGAATAGGATAATTAACTAAAGCGACGAGTAGGATTTAAGAATGTGAATAGAGTAAGAGAATATTTAATAATCCAATTGGAAACAGTATTACCCCAAGTGTCCCATGATCTAGAGACACATTGAGCTTAATCCCGAAGCTATTGCTAAACGGGAGACTAGTGCCCCTTAAGGGCACCTCTTTGTGGCTTTGCGATACGTTCCGATATTGCAGAATCCAAGCTAAGTCATCTACATATTCCCATCCAAGGCCTCCATACAAATCACCCCAGGGATTAAGTACGGCCTTACCCCCAGTCCCTGAAAGGGGAAATACATATGTGATATAATCACGTGATCTACAGCTTCTCCGTATAGGAATACTCCATATAGGAATATTACCTACCTATATCAAGTCTTATATATTTAATTAGTACTGCCACAATTTTTTCAACGAATCAGATGCTTAGAATCGCCCCGCAGTTTGCGACTTTTCCCTTTGCCATTCTATCGCATAACGTCCGCAAGAGGTGCAAATGGTATAGAAAGGTCATGCAAAACGAGCTCTATCCAACGATACCAATTATTAAAGATTTTACCCAAAAGTGAAGCAATTCAATTGATTTTACAAAAAATTCATCGGACGTGCGCTGAGGTGTGGCTAGCCAATCAGAGGCCAGACTTCAGCTGTGGCGTCAGTTTTGCGCATGAACCCCCCCCCCCCCCCCCCTCCTCCTCCTCCTCTTCCCCCTTTCCCCCGTCCGCGTTTGAGCGGACGGGCAACGCCGCTAGTTACCTACCTATTTACGAAGCCAAATTGACGAATCTCTATTACAATTCGTATTCATCTTTAGTAGTTTCTCAAATGAGTCTCGACCCGAAACAATTCACATCGACTATATTTCATCTTTCGGTTAGGGAACGTCCTCGAGTGTTGTCCCTACGACCCCTGTTAGAGGAGGAGTTGATGCCTGAGATACATCACATGTCATGTAACCCAATGGGAATGTGGCTGGCTAAGTCAGATAGAGTAATCTACAACATACATAAATTATCACACATCTCCTATTTCAGCATACTTTCTAGAACCTCATGGCACTAGATTTCTGTGCCGGAAAAGCTTCAACTACGTGGCAGGATGCAGTACAATCCTTTCTCTCAAGTCTTGGGCCCAGCGAACGGGCCGCTTTCCAAGTACCGACAAGTCCGGATGATTGCATGGCTGTTCTCCTAGCGACTCAACGTCGCAAGAGCAAACTGACGCGGATCCTTGAACTGATGAAACCTGCGATTGAGCCGCTTAAACGGTTCGAGAGCGCGGTCGACGTCATCGTTCAGGTCAACGCAGGAATCGCGTCCCCGATATGGGGTCCGCTGAGGATTGTCATAACGGTGAGCGGCACTTCGCCTGGACGCCGAGTAGCTAGAAGCGACTAATAACGGCTATGCCGCCCGAAGCTCTCCGCAGACCATTTTCGTACGCTGGAGAGCATTGCCATGATCATCCATAGAATCATAAGCTCGCTGCAGAGATTCTCCAAGTATGAAGAGTTGTTCGAAAAGAACAAGCTTGTCCAGGACGCAATAGGGGCACTCTACTGCGACTATATAGACTTCTGTGTTAGGGTTACGAGATTCTACTCGGCGTCGTCTTTCCGTAGGCTACGCTTATCGCTGTTGATCGTATTGAGCCTGACGCTTAACCAGGAACTATCTTCGTCTCCTTCGATAAGGACTTCCGCGATGTTGCTGAGAACATCCAGCTTCATAGCCAAAACGTAGACTGGGCGGCCCATACCGCGCATATAGAAGAGACACAGCGGGAGGCAGAGAACGCAAAAGCCGAAAGACGAGGTATGATGCCTAATTTAAGACACGTCGGCGTAGATGTTCTCTTCTAAACTATCGCAGCACATGAAAGAGGTAATATTCAGAGATGGTTATCGCCGTCGACTGTCGATGATGACCTCCAAAAACACTTGGATGATTGTATACCTCAGTCATGCGACAGACTATTGGATTCTCGGCAATATCAATCATTCATCTCTTTAAATGATGATACGAGTAAACCTCCTGTTCTTATATTACAAGGGTTGCCTGGGAGCGGGAAGACTACAGCAGCAGCCTTCATCATAGACCAACTGAAGGAAGAAGGACGTAAAGTGTTATATTTCTTCTTCAAAGCTAATGATGTAGAGAGGCACACATTGCTGAACTGTCTTCGAACACTGTTAACTCAACTAATTCGATTGGAGGAGCATCTCTATGACCTTATCCAGCCATTCTACCAAGAAAGTGGCCGAGTGGTAGCCGACTCATTAGCTGAGGTACAGCGGGCTCTATCAGCTGCGCTCCGGCACTCGAGAGCAAAGCAAATATTTGTAGTTCTCGACGCTCTTGATGAATCTTCGAATAGTACGGAGGTTACGCAATGGGTTACCACCTCTCAAAATAGTGGCGACGGGCCACAACTCCGGATACTTATCACCTCTCGCCCTTCACCAGCCTTTTCAAGGTCCTCTGACTCGTCTTGGGCGATTCTGAAAATGGGGAGCTTTGAGAACGCGAGCGTCAACTCGTACATACTCTCCCGGGTCCAGAAAAATCCAATCATCCGCGACACAAAAGTCGGGGCGCTGGTCGCAGACTACGTCACGTCGGCTACGAGGGGACTTTGGCTTTACGCTCGCCTGATGATGGATGATATTGATAGACTCCCTTCCGTCGGCCAAATCCAGAAGCAGCTAAGTGTTCTCCCGAGAGGATTCACCGAACTGTACACGCAGATAATTAGGACGACAGAGGCCAATTACAACGCGATCGAATTGAAGCTAGCCCAGCAGCTTCACTTGTGGGTTGATACCGCAGATTACCTTCCGAGGTTCTTAGTCTTGAGGGACGATCGAATCGGATACGGGACGCTCGAATTGATATTTCAGTACGCGAACGACGGCGAGATAGTACACGACCCAGCTGTACAAGCTAGTCGCGTGTCAGGTCCTCTTATTGAAGTCTTTAACGACGAAACCATAGAGCGAGTGGATTCTCAGGCTTACGAGCTCGACTTCATTCATTATACAGCGGCCCAGTATCTGAGCGAAAGCAACAATTTGCCGGCCGCACAGCTACCGCTTACTCTACGCCCGCGGCGTCTTCGGCATCTGCACCGCGCCGCCGTCGCGATTTGGTATTTCACAGAGTGCAAGCAGTCAGAAGAGATGCTCCTGAATCTACGATGGAGCGAGGGGAGACCTGCAAGTTCCTTGATGAGGTACTTCGAAATGGCATATGGACTTTGGAACGCCCTCCATCTGGTTGAGTTTCCCGACATTCAAGACGATCAAGAGGCGGCCGAGGCGGAGACTTTACTGCAAAAATTGATTGATTTCATCTCAACGCCGGCATGTTTACGCTGGGTAGAGTGCGCCATGATCATCAATTATAAGGGAAAGTTCCCGCATCTGTTATGGAATGCTGTCAAAGGTGTATGTTTTACCTCTCCTCTTTTCTTCTCGATTCACTTCAAAAATCAGTGCACGCGACCGAGAAGACATTGCTTCTAATATACCTGAACCTCCTCTACTCGTAGTTTAATAACATAACGGCTGACTCCGATTAACAGTGGGAAGCGGGCAAGGATAACGAAAACCACCAGTTTGCACCATACCGAGCTTTCTCCAAGTCTCGAGTGCACTTCTTCCAAAACTACGTCCACGTCTTAGCGTTGACGGGTGTAGGGGCGGAATCCGCCCCTCGCGAGCTTTTAGATTCCGCGAAAACGGGACTCTTACGGGATGAGGTCGCACATGAGATCTTTCGTCTGGGAGAGCAATGGCGACGGCTTGCGTTTCCTGGTTATAGCTAGGTAGGAATTGTATATGCGCCGATTATCGCAAGGCACCAATGGCATTGATTGGATCTATGCTACCTATTTTCAAGGTCTTGTAGGCTTGGTATAGGCAGGTATTACGCGGGTTTCGGGCTCTGCGAGTCTCCCGTAGAGGTAGATAATAGATAAAGGGGCTACTAGTACGGCTCGGTAATTCATTGTGGTCGATATGGGGTAGAATGAAAGAAAACTATACCTAAATCAAAGCCCAAAGGCAGGAAACGAGCTACCTTTTCATTAAACAAAGACGCATACTCCCCCTCGCGCGTGATAACAAAGTTACGTGCGGCACTATACATAGACGAATCATGAAAGACTGCTTAAAGGTGCATTGACGATGTTCGACTCGAGAGACAATAGATGATTCTCATACATAAGGAACCGGCCACATCTCTCGTGAGCGGAAGATGGTGGCTTTTCTCAAGTGTTCGTTTCCTTGTCTCCTATCAACTCACCTAAGTCATTTCGTGAACATCACGACTTCAGTCTTCAGCACATTCATTCATTTCATTTCACGGCAAAACGCCCCCATTGGCTTTCTTAATAAATAAAACTTATACCAATTCACTATTTCAATATATATCAACAACTTATCTCTCAAAACAACTGCAATTCATATCTTTCAAAATGCAGTTTGCCGGTATCATTCTCTTCGCGGCCGCGACTTTAGGCGGCGTCATCCCGACGGGGTACGATGTACGAACGGGTTTCCATGCCATCGCCCGCGATCCTGCCAACCTAGTATTGAAGCCCGTAAATTTCGCCCACGTCCAAGAAGATAGGCGAAGAGTGCAGCTCGGTTCGAGGGGAAGTGGCAACTAAGCTGGGCTGGATCCCAACTTAGCTAGGCCCATACTATGTAGGGGAGGATTGATTATAATTTTGGGTCCTCACACTCGCTAGGACAGTTATATAAATACATAGGGAAGCGACTTTAGGCCCTTTTAAAAGGAGTTATACCACTTGGTTTTTAAGGTCGCGAGATAAAAGTAATTATAGAAAATTCAATTCGTTAACCCGTCTTAGCTATGTAGAATCCGATAGACTGTGATGTAAAATGGAGAAGAAAAAAATTGAGGGAGATGAAATAGAACCAACAGCCGAGTCTATGACACCAGCTTTCCATGGCGTACTTGGGAAATGTGAAAGTGAGGCGAATCAGAATGCTTCGTTGGCAGTGGCAGCGCCCCTCTTTTCAAGGCACGTAGAATTCTACATACGGCATACGGCATAATGTAAAGTCTGAACTTGATACTCGTGGAGCTGATAATGCCAAGCAGTAAGATAAGCAGCAGCGTTGGAGAGAAGTTGGAGGTGTGCCATGGAAATATAGAGAGTTGATAGGCTGGCTTCACAGCTTCTTTTCTTATCTTAACAGGAACCGTAGAGAGCTTGTGATAAAAAGGAATATCACACTAGGAAAAGGGCAGAAAAAGGCACCTGCATGATGGGATCATCCCGGGAAAGGATCGAAACAGCGTATGCAGCAGCCCCGGGGACTTGGAATGGCTCCATTTTCGACCCACCAACACTTTTTACGTATGCTGCAGCTTCTTCCTAGCTGGGTGTGTCGTGCTTCTAGATGAGCGTTTTCAATTGGGACTGGCTATATGCGATCCTGCGAGGAATTTGAACTTGCAGATTGTTGTTAATTTGTCGGGCACCTTAAATGGTCGTGAGGGATCTTGTACTCTAGCAATAGGCAATTAATCTGAATAACGGTGGCCCATCTTGTCTTACCTATGTACGGAATATGTATTGGGTAACACAGTACAAACGGCATAGGCAAAAAGGATTGGTACGCCATCAGATGGAAGATGCTACCATCCCCGGGGGAAAAACCCCTGAGACTAAGTTCCAGGCTATGACTCGTCGTGTGTGACGGCACATTTTGGCACCATTCGGAGCCATTCTCGCCTCAGCCGAGTCTAGTTCTCCATTTAGTATTTCAGAGCTGCGAAGTCTATCAGGAGGAATCATATGCTAGTTAATAGTAGATAATTAAAGCTTAGAGCCCTATAATTGGTTCTGTCGAAATTGACCTTATGGATTTTTTTTTTAAAAAAAAGGGGAAAAGGTTGAAATACCTAAAAGTCGAATACAGATTCGTATCTTAAATTCCTGCCGGCTTCTAGCTGTAGCAGTTCTGCAGCTGCATCGATCCCTGTAAGCTCCCTGCTAAACCCAGCAAGTTAGCCTGATCACCCCCCACTAATCCATCCCTTCAGGTGCTTGGCCCCCTTTCTACAGTATGGCACCCTACACTAGTGGCACCTCCGACACCGAAAGAAGCAGGGAGTGGGTGTAGCGCGCTAAGCCAAAAACAGTTTAAGTGGATGAGCTAAGTCATGTGAAAGCGCGAGAGTATCGGGTTGAGTTCAACGCGTGGGCCAACATCCATCACCAAATTTACGTGTTTGCCTGAAAGATAGGACGTACAGCGCCATGCATCCTCACATTACAGTTTGACATGGGTCTGTCGCTATATAAGGAGGGCACCGCCCGACAATTCTTTTCCATTCAACCCTTCTGCAACATTGGAGCCTCGGGCAGGTAAGGTAAGGCCATTTTTATCATTTGATCATCTCATCGTGTCGTCTTTTTTATTTTCTCAAGTCATTTTTTCTCATCTTCGCAACTACCTACTGCATTCCATCATCCGACCTGCATCGCCTTAATTACCTAAATCTATCAGCTGGATTTCGGTGATCCAAACGCGGTCGGTTGATACGATATTGAGGGGATTATTTCCTTCGGTCGGAAACTTAAGATAAATTAATAAGAAGAAGAGGTCATTCATTCATTCATTCATTCATTCATTCATTCATCTATTCAAAATGTTCGGTCGACGGTTCGAGCCAGCCGCGAATAAGAGTTTCTCCAAGACTCAAAAGGTCAACAAGTCTAGTTCGTCTTTTAGTAAAAGTAGCGGAGTCTCTAAGAGTCGACATGAACCTCGTCAACATCGCCGCCCAGCGACTGCGACATCTTCAAATGTACCTATGGAAACAGCCCTCTCACCAACTGGGTACGTCTTTAATTCCTATATTCTCTCACTTGTTCATATTTTAATGTTAGGTGCATTTAACTAACTTCATTTTCACAGCACGTTAACCCCTTCCATCGTCACTCTGGTCATCGGGAGTGACCAACGCATCTTCGCCGCCCACGAAGATGTCCTCCGCGCTTCGTCGTGGTTCCAGCAGGCCTTATCGAACCAGTACATGGAAGGCCAGAGCTCCAAACGCATACATCTTCCAGACGAGGAGCCCGAGATCTTCTCGTCCATCCTAGAATACCTGTACAAAGGCGACTACTACCCTCGTCTAATCCATAACAAGCGTCGGAACTCGTGGGAGATCGAGCAGATTGAAGATGACGATCGTGGCTCGAAAGAGTCAACCGTCTACCACCGCGGCGTTGATGGCGACATTCTTAAGGACACCGTCATTTATTGCACAGCCGACAAGTACGGCCTTGAGGAACTAAAGCGAGTCGCCCTACGCAAACAGGGTCTTCGTAAGTCATCGCCGTCATTTCAGTCAACTGTAGTCTTAAAACCCAACCACTAACATATCAGCAGAGTCCGGTATTCAGTGCAGCACCATCCTCGCATCGGCGCGTTACGCGTATGCCAACACACCAGACTCCGACTCCAAGTTGCGAGCGCACTACCTCGCTCTCATCATCCGGAGCCGTAGCACCTTCAAACGAAGCGGCACCATGCAGCTGGAGATGTTTAACGGCGGCACACAGCTCTTCTTCGACCTTTTCGTCGCCTTATGCAACCACGTAGACGACATTTCTAGCACTCAGTGAGTAACTCTTGTTCATAGCGTCGTTACACCTCACTAACGTCGCTTCTTAGAAACACACCCCGAAGCAACCGCCACTTCTTCTAATATGCTTCGTCGTGGTCGTCATAATCTCTCCATCTCATCGTCCTTTCTTATTACCAATCTCATCCCACCGGGAATTCATCATATCAAAACAACCTAATGATCAACGCCTTCATATCCTTTTTCTACTTCTCTACTACTACATTCCGAAAGATTCGGGGGTTTCGGTTCGGGACACAACAGCGACAAATACCATATTAGCGGCGTTCGGGATTTTCACAGTGGATATCATCATCATGCTTTCTTTCTCATTTTTCCCGTCGAACTCTTGTATCATTATAATCCTCGCAACAAATTGGCGCGGCAGCGAGGATATCAGAGAATTACACCATGGTGGATTTATGGCTACGAAGTAAAATGCCGGAGAAAGAAAAAAAAGTTACGAGTTCTACAGGTTATCAGTGTACGAAGGAAACCGGCAGCGCCTTTCAGCGGGGAAAGGCTGAATAACGAGGAGATGGGTACGAAGAAAAATGGAATCGGCCTATGTAGGTCAGTTGTTGGAAATTCGCTTGGAGGAAGCCTTATGAATATCTCTTGTATTATTACGTTCTAGACTATCTTTGATAAGCAGCTCGCTGCTTTCTGCCCCTGGTACTATTTATTTCCGAGATATCACGCCGGGGGCTCCTAGGAGATAAAGCACGCAAAACTAATGAATTACGTTCTTGTAGTTATATATTTCTTAGCACTCTCTACTACTCGAATTATCGTGAAGCTTATGTACAATGTTCATCGCAATAAACCCTCCCTTACGTAACACCTTGGTAGCATTTCCCCCGCTCGTGCCCGAATGCAAATTGGGCCGAGAAGCTTCCAAGCAGAGAAGTATAAGCGAGCATACCAAGCAGTCAACATTACCATACCGTCTCTCTTGATTCGCCAATTCCTGACTTCTTCTACACTAGGTGCTTACCTCTTAATAGGTACCCGTCCCAGCCAGCCCACCAGCGTGTACGTACCCCAAGCTATGTATGCCCACCCCGTTTCTTGTTGCAGTCACATATGTATAAGTACCTAGTCAGGTAGTCAGTCACCCACTCAAGACACAGGTGCTACACCCCGGTCTCCCGAGTTAAAGTGGTTGCATATGGCCCCCACCCGCGTTTTAATGAAGTAAAGACCAAGAGATTGCGGGAGGGATGTGTGAGTCATTCACTCCGCATTCACCCGTGCTGAGCATGGATGTAAGTAAGCCAGCAATCTCGCATAGAAGGATGGCTGGAACGAAGCGTGGCGGGTCTCTTCCCCGGGATATTTTGAAATGTACATATTTACCTATATACCAACGAAAATAATGATATAAAGTGACGAGTATCTCACGCGCTCTCTTTTGCAATGCTATAGAGTTGAATTAATTCGGGTCGAACGGTGTTTTATTCGATCATCTGAATTATACGTTGATATTCATGACGAGTCCATGTTGCGATATTGCTCTTAGAAACGGTTGCAACAACTTAGGGGGAGATAGGTAGGTAGGTACTAGTCAAGTAACAAAGTCCAACAGCGCAACACGCATATTACAACACGAAAGCTTAGCAAAACTGATGATACATGCACTTACGGGTGTCCTTTGTATTCTTATTCGTTCTATAGACGAATTAAGAGGATGCTACAGGGCGGGATCTAATCATACCCGAATCCAGTAGCACCGTTCTTCCCCGCACCCGCAAGTCAGCCGCATCCTTTATGCAAGGCATCTCAATATCGCTCCTCGGTCAGCATCCTCTAGTTGCCTGGGCTGACGACACGCATTTAAAGCGCCGCCTACTCATCGCCTCATTCTGTTAGAAGATGGATATGTTCCTCGCTTTTCTGCCCACCCATTCGATTCGTTGACTCAAACTTTTGTCCCGGGAAAAGCGCCATTCTTACTTAACACCACAAAACCGCGCTCGTGAGCAATATATCCCTTCATTAAGTTCTGTAATAGGTTAATACTATTAGTGAGTCATACTCGAAAGACGTTAAGAGCACGCAAATAAGATAATACGCGCTTGCGGTAAAACGGTCTTGGAGAAACTTTAACACCGTATGATGCTAAACTCCCCGAGGATGTAGGACACCAAGCATGCTAAACGAAAAGATGAAACAGCTTGTCGTTTGCCCCACACGCCAAATAGGCTGTATTTCAAGACTCGTAAAACTTCAAAGAAAGATAACACATACCTTATAGATCATATTGGCTAGGAGACACTCTACCTCATCAGTATCGATATCTCCGCCGCCGCTGATCTTTATCGCCGCAGCAAACTCAGCCACCGGTATCCTCGTGCGGCGGACAGGTGCAGCACCATCCTTTCCTTCCTCAAAACCACCAGAGATGAAAACTTTCCGGAGAAGATTTCTCAAGGCGATGTCGCGGCCACGTTCTAGGGTGAGATAGATGCGTCGCTTAATAAACTCATTTTCGCCGTCCCGTAGCGCAGCATCGAATGCGCGGAGGTCCGCCTTTTTGATTGCCACGCCCAAAGGTAAGAAGAGTTGCTGTAGACGTGGAAATGGTTCAAGCAATTCGGAACTAGGTAGCGTGTGTGTTGTGAGGAGATGACATGGAATAAGATACGTTAATATTAGCCTGAGAAGTGTAAGTATACGAGGCAGACATGTTAGTTAGGTACTAAGATTTATAAACGTACTCAAGATTCCTCTTGGAGTCTTTGTGGCACATGTGCCAGGCTGTCGTAAGATGTTGCTCGGCCTTAATCTCGTTAGCGAGTAACCAGAATACGTCAAGGTAGAGTATTCATACCTCTACATAATTCTCCTCGAGGAATGCTAAAACTCCTTCATAATACTTGAAGGTGACCTGCTGCGACTTGGGAAATTTGTCGAGCGTCGGCATATCTCCCCGTCCTGCTTGGATCGCTTTCAGGACATTTTTAGATAGCGTGGCAGAGTTAAGCTTGAAGTAACTCTTAAATAGGAGATTGATGGCATAGTAGATGCCCCATTTACGGGATTCTTCTAGTGGCGCTCTTATTATGAATTAGTCATTGGCTATAAAAGAGTATGGGCATTTTAAGTACCTGTCATTCAAGCAGGTTTGAAAGATTCTATTGAGGTGCCGTGTACAGTCCTCTAGCATCTTATGCTCTTCATACTCTGGGTCGAAGTCATCTTGCATGACAGCCTCGGTGCTATATTCGGTACTGGTTTTCCTCTCCTCGTCTGCTCGGATGGCAAACAGTCGCAAATACCTCCCCGCGACGTACAGGCATGGAATAGTCCAGTTCTCGAATTCATGGTGCGTATATCCGCGGATGACTTGTAAAGTTAAATTCTTCCACGCTTCATACACCTTCGTCCATGACGGTTTGGTTGACTTCTAATCGTTAGCGGTGAACCGGGGGTCAGCTCAAGATCCAAGATAAGATTTCAACTTGGTGACAAATTAAACGAATAAAATAATAAAACCGATGCATACCTTCGTATCATTTCGTAGACCTTCAACGGCGAGTATCTCTCCGATCGCATTCCAGTAGGAAAAATAAATCTCGAACCAGCCTGTTGTCTCCTCTTGAGACAGCCTGGGACGTGAAGGGTCCGTGTAGAATAGGAAATTGAGGTCGGCGGTAGTATCCCGTTGGTTTCCTCGACCCCAAATAGACTGTAACTTGGATGCGTACATCTGCGTATCTGGCCGAATGGTTTCGGCAAGCCGGTCACCTTTCATCTCGGCATATGCCGTCCTAAATTCCTTAACGAGCGAATCCATGTCTGCAGAGAAGAGGAGGTGAACGAGCTGGAACGAGATAGAAGGAGGATTGGAGACTATAGCGTTTCAAAGTGAAAGTGAAGAATTAAGCAATTATAAGGTAATTAATTGAACATGGTATATTAGTATGTCTTTGGTTTTGTCATTTCCTACTCACTAACAACTGATTGAATGTTGAACGTCTGCAAGTTGAGAAGCATAGGTTCTTTGTAGTCCTTGTAGGTTTACATTGTTCTGATTGGTCCAAGCTCAACGTGGAAGGACGTCCACCTCTAGGACCCAATTTTCGTTGATACAGCTTTCTATCTAGCCACATGAAGTAACAGCACACCGCCACCACTATACCCCACCTCGGATAAGCCACAGGTCGCTAGGGCGGCAAACCCTTAGCACAGAAATTTCACCAAAAGTTTCCTGGTAAGCGAATTCAACATCCAACATCCAGACCCGGACTTTTTCCAACTACGCACGACTTCTCGATCACGACCACATACACACCAAGTCACAGTAGGTTGAACGCTTAAAACGTTTATTGATTAATTACTAACATAATTCAAGATGGGTAAGCTACGAATTTTATTTCTTCCTCCGCGCCAGCACCAAAACTAGGTCTCCTGAAACGCACTGCGATATGTACGATCGATTGAAACCTCGAGCGACAATCCATTCGAATGGAAAAACTACCACGAGGCGCACTTGACCTGGAATCGCGCTACATGCGCACACCATACTGGAGACGAATGGGTAGACGAAAAGCAAATATTGCTGGGCAAATTGGGAATTGGAATTTTGATTCACAGATTCACGTACTCTGAATTCGTCACGCGCAATTTCGACGGCATGAGCGATACCGCGATTGGCATCAACAACCCGACATCTAACTGCATTGGAATCCGCCCTAATTCAAATATAACTTCATTTACTCTGAAGAACAGAAATACTAACAATGCGAATTTCAGGTCGTCTTCAGGAATACCAGGTCATTGGGCGCCATCTGCCCAGCGAGGCCAACCCTACCCCCAAGCTGTACCGCATGCGAATTTTCGCTCCCAATGAGGTCGTGGCCAAGTCCCGCTTCTGGTACTTCCTGACCAAGTTGAAGAAGGTCAAGAAGGCCAACGGTGAGATCGTCACCTTGAACAAGGTACGCCACGAATGCAGAATCTGCACCAGGAAGACGATAGGAATTAACGTTTGAGTTAGATCGCCGAGAAGAACCCCCTCCGCGTCAAGAACTTCGGCATCTGGATCCGATATGACTCCCGATCTGGTACCCACAACATGTACAAGGAGTACCGAGAGATGTCCCGAACGGGTGCCGTCGAGGTTATGTACCAGGACATGGCTGCCCGCCACCGCGCCCGCTTCCGGTCGATTCACGTACGTTATACTTGATTCATACTTCGGAATAACGGCCTAACTAACAATTTTCTAGATCCTCCGCGTCGTCGAGCTTCAGAAGAGCGAGGATGTCAAGCGCCCCTACATCAAGCAACTTATTACCAAGAACCTCACCTTCCCTCTCCCCCACCGTGTACCCAAGATCAACAACAAGAAGGTGTTCAGCGCCACCCGACCTTCCACATTTGCATAAAGGGTTTTTTCGTGTTGCTGTCGGAGGGATTAAGGGAATCGGGTTTGCCGGTGTTCATTACGGAATTGCGGAAAACTTCTTCATTAGCATGTGTGTGCTCGGTAGATAAAGCACTAAATGCATACGACCAATGAGCAAATAAGTTGCGTTACGTGTTTCTACATGTTGTACAAGTGCTGTCCAACCATGGTGTACTATGTGACAGGAGATTTTACTAATTGCTAGCCTCGCTTGACCCTGACTTGGACTGTTTATTAGGGTCAGCCTGTGTTTCGGTCACAAAGTCGTCCCAAGTACTCCAATTCGTCATAACATTAGGGCCACCAATGTCCAACATGGGTATATCAAAATTCAAGTCCCTCCAACCCCATAGCTCGTTTAATGAGTACGGCGACAAGCTGAGCTTTTCCAAGTCTGCCGGTACGCTAGGCTCTCTTGTATCGCGTATTTCGGCCCCGTATATACTTTCCGGTTGCACCGTCGTATTATAAACCCCTTCTATCGGCGGGATGCCGCTTTCCGTATTGTCAGTTTGTAGGTATACCATATCTTGTATCCGTACGTCTGGGCTATCAATAGTAGTCGCTGTAACGCCGGTTGTGTTTGTAGCAGCAGCAGGTGTAATAGTATCGGCGGTGGCCGCGGTAGCCAACCTAGCCGCCTTAGCCCTCTTGTACAGCTTACGGATAGGCCGCCATAAGGTACCGTCTTTAGTGTCGGCGATGACCTCGCTCCACTTAGGTAAGACGTCCTCGACGGTCCGCCAGGCGCGGTCGACGAGCTCGCCACGGGTCTGCGTGCACAGCTCCGCAAGCGCAACGGCTAGGGGGTGCCATTGGACGTACGTGGCGGCCCACCAGCTGAACCGCTGGCCGTACGGGCCAGTCGCAAGGTGCTCGTTAAGCTCAACAATCGATATGGCCGTGCGCAGCGTCGCCTCATGCGGGAACACGTTGCCGGCTGTTCCCGCTCCCCCTTGCCGCGATGCTGAGGACGCCTGTGGGCGCCGTCGCGGGTGTAGCGGGTATTGCATCATGAGCCATAGTTTGAGGATAACGAGACGTACCATGATAGAGGCTAGGTACGAGGGCACATGGTTCGTGTCTGCGCCTACGACGAATTGCGCTTCAAGACTCTGTGCGTGCCGCAATGTCTCCTCGACACCCTTAGACGGCGGGCCGCTGTCTTCAATGCCCGGGGCGTCTTGCGCATGCTCTACGGCCAGGAAGAGTCCCGAGCACCGCGCCGTGCATAAGTTAAATGTCATATCACTGGGACCCTGCCTTTCGACGAGCGGGCCCAGGGAGTCAGGCCCAAAGTCCTCGTCGTTGATATTCAGCGGGAGCCGCGTGTCATAGCTATCACGCGCCACAATAGTATTGGTTCCGCGGTCTTCTGATGCCCGAATGTCGAGCACGATGAGCTGCCACCAAAGACGTCGCCGAATTTCCGCCTGAAACGGAGAGAGATGGGCATTGCTGCTCTCGTGATGTAGGTCGAGCGCTTGCGCAAGACGTATAGGCAAGGATACAAGTGCCCACGATGCGCGCGATCCTTTGGTATTGCATCTCACGCAAGCTACGTATAATGTTAGCGCCTGCAAGGTTTCGAGACTAGTGCTGCTGAGGTAGTCAGCCCGCACCAGAAGGTACTCGAGTGTAGAGGAGTAGAGCGGGAGTAGTTCCTCGCGCCGCCGGCCTAGCTGCGCAAGACATACCGAGGGCGATAAGCTTGCCACGGCCGCATAGTATATAGAGAAGTACAGTGCTTCTTTCTCCGGGGTAAGTTGCGACCGTGCGGTTTCGGGGGAGTGAGCGAGCGAACACAGGTCCTCTCGTATTGTGGGCCGGTGGAGTATCTTCAGGATCATATCAACGTTTGTGAAGAATGTCGAGCCTAGAAATAATATATGCTGTGGGGATGGATGTTCGATATGATCGTACGAGATACGGGGTGAATTCCCGAGGAGCATGCCTGGTGATAAAGCAGATGCGCTAGAACTACTATTATCGTTTGTGACCGAATCGGGAGTGCCTCCCTGCAACATTTGTTGTTCTTCATCATCCGAGTCAGTGGATGACTCCAGCGCTTGCCTCAACCCCTCGACTTCGAGACAGAGGCTTGACCAGAACTCGCCGCTGAGATAGCGCGAGGCCTTGCTATCATGAAGCGCCTTCTTCCAGTTATCCTGGGACTCGCTAGAAGCGGTCTGCTTCGCGGCGGCTCCGAGGGCCAGCGGAGCGGTGCTTAGACCGGCTGTAGAGTCTGAGACTAGCTCGGCCACATTGGCCCCTTCTAGGCCGGAAGCACTAACCTTGCCTACGATGGACTCTAGCCGACTTAAACGCTGGAGTAAGTCCGAGTTTTTGTTCGTCCGCGGTTTGCGCATCCGCTTGCGTGTGGGGAAGATGCATTCGGCGCCGGAACGCACGCAGTGACTACATGGGTGTTCTCGACTGCACTTCAACTTCCTCGCGCGGCAGTTTGTACAGCTCAGCGGTTTTGACTGCGGCCGCTGAGCCGTGCCCGCTGGTGGGCGAGAATCCATCCCCTCTTTGCTGTGCCGCTATCCAAGATGTTAGACTATCAAACTATAGTCTATTCCAATGCTTCAACTCATTGAAACATTCATAAATGTTTAATATAACTATATCATGTCCATTATAGAACATAGATTTAGTTATCCGAGGAGGTTAAATATATGTATAAATGAAAGTGAAGCTGCGCTTTTGCTTACAGAATGAGTTTCGATTCTAGGGTCCCAGTGTTTTAACTCCTTGATTACTTAAGGCATATGACATAATGGCACTGCATAGGTACGTAGGGCTGAATTCTAATACTTGATACGGTTAGTCTGGTCCAGGAATAGCTAAGCTCATCGATTAAGCATTACCTAGCACAAACCCCGAATCTAGTTTGTATTTCCATGACGAGTCTACAATCACCTCTTTTAGTTCTCTTTAATATAATAGTCTGGCATAACTAATTAGATAATACGGAGCGCGGATATCGTTAATAAGAGTACCCTAGTTTATTCGTATAGGCTTACGCGTTCAAATTGACATGGGGTAAAATAGGACCGGTTGATTCCTACTATGTAACAAAGTGCCTTTTGTGACTCTGGTGGCCTATATTGCAATCTTACTATGTAGGTACCCAAGTCTAGCTTCTATCTTTGCCAACTATTTAAGTAAGGTGGAATACACTTTGCCATAAGAAAGCATATTGACATAGAAGTAATCTTGGGGTCATGAATATCGACGGTAAGCTTTCTTAATGAAAAAGAGCTTGGATATGGCCAATTAGTAGTTAAACGTAGTAGGTGAAACTTTCAAAAGTTACTCCCATGGGATGTTAACTTCCTATTATGATAAACTACCTAGGTACTTACCTAAGTTTTAGAATTTTAGGATTGTCACAAGAGACAGGGCTAAGATTCCTATATTCTCACCTTCCCATCGAAAAGAGACTAGGGAACATGAAAAGTTGTGTGCTCAAGTAAACTCCTCACACCGGCATCCAGGAAACTAAGCGAAGTAGAAGAGTCTAGCCGACGAAGAGTGAGCTCAAGTTTTCACCTTGCCTTCGCTTGGCATAATATCGACCTCCCCATAGCTTTACTGAGGCTGGCCCGCGACTCCTACGTTACCCGGGAATGTAACCGGGTCAGATAAGACATGTCTTAAGATATTGTGCTATACTTGAGTACTAGAATACCCATAAAACGAAACTGAAGAGCAGGGTGAGACACGGGTACCGTTGGTAGCACGTGGCGCGAACGGGCTGGAGAGGAATCTTCAGCCATTATATCCTATGTTCACGCTCCCGCCTTCTTCAATTAATCGTCTCTGATTCTTCTTTTCTTCGCCTCCCTTTTTCTGGCGAGAACCTCATGGCGGTTGACAAGGACTATAAGAGAAGCGTCGGGAGCCATGACGATAGCAAGAATTTTCCTCGTAGACAGACTGAGAATCTATTATAATTTTATATCCCCCTCCACCATCAAAACTACTACTAAGTTCTCCATCTCGTCACTACTTCCCCACGACAGACTTGCTTTTTAAAAAGTTTCTCGCTTGAAAATTTAAAAATGCATCCCTCTACGCTCATCATTGTCATCTCGGCAACCGTATTGGCCCTACCGTTCCCGCTTCCGGCACTGGGCGGCATAGGCGGTATATCCGACACAATCGTAGGCACCATCGATAGTCTACTGGGAACATCCAGTCGCCACAATAATCATGGCGGTAGCACGGGGCACGCATCCGAATGTCGTCGCTACGATACCGAGCCCATCACAACATGCATAAATAAATGCGTAGACCTATGCGAAGATGGGGATGCGGACTGCAGCGCTTGCATGAAGGGATGCTGTAAGTGTCCGTCCTTATAGGAGCATTTTACCAGGGCGTAGATATTTTTTCGAAGACTTTGCTGACTTGAGCGCTCTCTAGCTCGTAAGGATTCTTGCGGCAAGCCCCGCGATGATAATCCCAAGACCGGCCACCAAAACAGCACTGCGCATCTAAACAAATATGGTGTCTGAAGTACATCCGAGCGAATAATTTTACACAATAACAGTATGAATCATGAAGGTTAACGAACTATCTAAAATAAATATTTGGGATTGTGATAGAAGGGTTTACAAGATACCATCTGATGAGCAATGAATGCAGGAGGCGTTGGGATTATAAGGCGAAAAAGATACTACCATAATCAATCTTTAAGATTTTTGAGTTTCTCTGATTTTCTTGCTTTTACGACTTGGATATTGCGAGTGATCAGTTCGTCGAGTATTTTTTGCCAAGCACCTGTGAAAATTTAGGTGTAGATCTGAATCTAGGCACATACCTTAGGTAGGTTGACAGGGGTTTGAAATGAGGCTTAAAATTATGGGGCTAGCTGTGGCAGGTATGGATGTACCTATGACTCACTAGCCTCACCTTGGGCAACAGCCCCACCTTAGAATAATATAAATTCAAACCCGCTCCCCTCCCAATTGTAAAATTTTCCTTCCTTTCTTTCCTCATCTTAGTGCACGGGCTTTACGCGTCACAGTGAGGAGCAATCCGAGTGCGTGTTTTTGCTAGTTGAAAACTATAACATGACCACTCCTGTTTGGCTTTGTACCGGGCAGGGAATTTTTGGAACTTGAACCACTATGGATTCTTTTCATCATGGCTCTGTCCCTAGCTTGGATGGAGGTGAGGAAGAGTTGAATTCGCTGGATCTTAGTTGAACGGCTGACTATTTGTTACGTAGGATAGAAATTATGTTGACGAGATTTATTTAATTTAGGACGGGTCTAGAGACCGATTCTCGCGCTTGTAGTGATGGTCCGATGCCATGCCAACAGGAGAGGTGTCGCATAGCAGAGGTAGTAACATTGCAGGAAATATTTGTCCTCAAAAGTGTTATGTTGATACACCAGAGAGCTTATCGTCGCGAATAAATTGGGTCTCTTGGATCGCTCTTTCCGTTTGGATTATTCTTTCTACGCAGAGTCATCTGTTGCGCTACTACCGACTCTAACGTACCTACCTATCAAGTCAGGCACGCCTTAGATTTTTGTTAGCCGAAACAAACTCTGAAAAGCCTAACGCATCTGAATAAACATCCCAGAATAAACATCGCAGAATAAACATCGCAGAATAAACATCGCAGAATAAACATCGCAGAATAACATCGCAACTTCAATCGCCCACAATTCGATCACTAGAAATAGTATCACTAGAAATAGTCAGTTTCGAAAGCAAGCATGGACCCGGGCATGGAAATAAATAAATTCCCCGCCCTCGTATTTGCCTCGGTCATTGAGTACCTGGTTTTGACTGTCGGCATTTATAAGGCTGTTCGACTCCGTCTAGTGAATAGTAAGTTGAATATTTCCACTCGCGAGTATTAAAATATCTATCGATATCTAATAAATCATATTTTAGGGCGTTTCAACTCCGAGATACTATTTGCTATATGCATTAAGCAAGTTATCGATATTGATGACCCAGCTACCCCGTGGGTGTCTTCGATGATAGACCCTTCAATTAAAGCCCGAATCTTCCTACACCGGTCCCGTTCTGGTAAGGGAAAACAAGACAGCTATGTCACGACTATTACCAGTGTCAACAAGGCAATAGACCTCTTAACCCAGCAGACGGAAGAAGGTCGGAATGAACAACACCAAATCATCGCCGAGGCTATCTGCGCTATGCATCCCTACGGCATCAAAATCTGGCATCGCACCATTAATATCAATACCCATATAGAAGCGCAAAACATTCTAAGTGGTGCTATTGTCCTCGGAAATCTGCCTCTAGTTAAGTCGCTGCTCGAAGCACCAAACGCATCGGCCCAAGTTAATTTTGAAACTCCCTACTTTGGTCGGCCACTGCAGCTTGCGGCTGTTTGGGGTCACCTACACATTGTCCGTTACTTGATCGACCGCGGTGCTAATCCACGGGCAATTAGTTACGATAGCGAGGATAATGATGGTCGAAACTGGGACGCGCGAAACTGGGACGCGCATATGCCAGCGTTCGCTCTTCCCGTAGTGTACGTTGTTCCCGAACTGCGGCGATAGTATCGACACCCTCGGGGGAGCGCTCTTCGAGCCGCCGCCCTAGGAGGGCATGAAGATATTGTGAACCTACTTCTGGAGCCGGAACATCGACTGTCGACTACTTCCAAAGAGGAATATTTTCGAGCGATTATGGCTGCGGCGCGCGGTGGCCATCTTAACATCTGCCAACTGCTTATCGCCTTGACGGGTAAAACGCTACGCTACTTCCCAAGACTGAGGGATGAAATATTTGGGGAAGCAATTGTCCATGGTCGAGAAGAAGTAGCGCAGATGGCACTTGATTCTGGTATTGACATTAACGCAAAGCTGTGGCGAGGAGGAGGAGAAGATGTTTCTGCTTTGTATATCGCCGCATCGAGGGGTGATATTCGTATGGTCCGGTTCTTACTTGATCGAAGGGCCTCCATAGGGCCGTACATGACGTTGACCTTAAACCCTATTGAAAGCGCCACCTACAGTGGACATCAAGAAGTCCTAGAGATATTGCTTGAGCGTAGAGCTTACGATGGAGGGCTCCTTGAAGTTGCTATCAAGGGAGGGCAAGCTCGCCTAGTTAAATGGCTCTTGGGAAAATATCCAAGCGAGATAACCGGAAGTAATCAGTATCCACTAGGCAATGGACTAAACCCAGTAGGAACAAGTATGTTATTATCTGCTATAACCGTCAGGAATCCCGATATTATAACCCTCCTAGTTAATGCTGGTCTCTCACTAAAGGAAATTTGCGATGCGGAATTCGTAATACATACGGCTGGTCTTCTTCCTTCGAGGTGGATAGTGGATTTCCTCGTTTCACTCGGGGTCATAGATCTAGATCCCAAAGATTATGAAAGTTATCAGTGGACTCCGGAGGAAGACGAACTTCTATACTCGGAAGAGATAGGAAGAGTGAAAGTTTCAAGGCGGACATGGCAATGGGTAGGCAAGCATTGAGACTTGTATTTCATCATTCGTCACTATCCTATGGTATAACCATGTGTCTCTCAGAGAAGCAGTACTTACCTAGGTACTCTTAATGATGCTAGTTCAAGCACGTCGGTTGGGAAAGAAACAATGTGTATAACGATTAATGATAGCCTTACCGACGTTTATTAATGAAGACTATCGACAACTAAATACTACTTCCATTCGGATTTTCGCTACCTTTCTATGGAGAGCTTGCTTACGCCGAGAAAACTACGTGCTGGATAGACTTACATCGTACTTCATACGGTGGCTTAATGAGGGGATAATAGACACAGACTAGTAAAGAGAAACCCCATCTTCTTGCATAGCTTCTGCTATATAGTTCAATGTATAGGACCTAGGTACCCTGCTATAATAGTATGACTTGCAGTTCGTTGAGGAGCTCTACCAGAATAAAGTGTTGCTGCAATGCACATAATACAGACGGGGCTATTAACTAGGTTATTATTTAAGTTACTGTGCTAGTTCTGGAGTCGTACATCGCAGTAGTTCTTGGCCGTCGCAACTCTTGCCGTCGCCAACCTATATTGATATAAAGGGTATAGTTACCTAACTTATTCAAATTGGTAATTCCAGTTGTTACGTATGTAGATTCGTATTATCAATCAAACCCCCCGCGAATTTCCAATTAGCATTACTACGTAGACTAACTAGGTTATATCGGGAAATTCCTTACGTCGCCCTGGTATGGGTCCGTTTGCTGTCATGTCTCGGTATGATTCGACGACGTTCGTGGGTCCTTCACCTTTTCCTGAGCCTCCCCGAACTTCGCCACGAGCGCGAAACGTGCGCCATAGGTTTCCCGTAGCGCTCTCTGGACTGCTTGACACGTCACGTATTATGTATTAGGTAGGTAGGTAGGTATGTATACGCTACCTCGGCTCTTTGGATAGGATAGAATTTGCTATTTTTGGCTGTTACGAAAGACACTGTGGTATGGGAAAAAGCGGTGTTGTGGATACGTCAATTGTGTAGAAGATCTCTTGGTACATATGGGGGGCATAAGTCATTGTGGATAGCATAATATTTATGATCTCAACGAGTTCTGCTAGCCAGGGGTTTGTGCACTTAGTGGGGCATTTTACTCAAACGCGGGTCGAATTTTTCTTTTCCTTTTCTTCTTTTTAATGCGCTATGGAAAGGCAACATGGATTACACAGACACCCGATGTTATCATCATATGTCCGATGATCCGTACCGACGGGGAGTTTGACAGGGGGCGGCAAAAACAAGCTCTACCAGGTGATAGTTCAATGGAGCATTCCATTGTGGGATACGATCCTTCGATCCGATGGTTTCGGGGATTCAAGAGGTCCACGTCGACCACTATGTCGGTCTTTTGATTTAGTGAAGTGGCTGCTTGAGATGGTATGTACATGGGGGGGAACTGTTGGGCCGCAAGGACCACAAGGCAAGGACCGCAAGGAGAGGACCGGTGGTTTGTGACGTTGCAACTCGCCCGCCAATAACCAATGGATCGCCTCGCGGATGCTACTCGACCCCAGTCGACCCCAGCGTATCGGATCGCGGCTTTATCACTAGATACCATAATTATCCAAAGCTTGGCACCCCTGCCCAAGGCGGTCAGAGTCTAGTGGCGGACATTTTTGTGAAGGACGTCAAGGCCATCTAATTTTTTGACACATTCTTCTTTTAACAGACCGACTTTCGCCTTTCCCTGTTCTCTCTTGTTCTCTCCCATGTCGTCGTTTCGGCCAGTGAATTTCCCTATACTCTATGCGGGAGCGGTGCGATGAAGCCCGGCTTCCGGCCGGGCAGGATCCCGATGTCGTTGGCTTGGGGGTACGTTGGATTTGTTTACTCAACCCACCTATTCACATGTAACGGGGGAATGCTCACTGTTGAACCAGACCCTGATCGCTTGTGCCGGGTCCGCATGTATCGCCGTCGTATGTTTAGTGATCCAGTACCTATTTTTCTATCTCCGCAAGAGCGAGGACGTACAGCATTCATCTGCTACGAACCCGATCGATGTTGCGTTGTTAGCCGGGCTCCGGAAGCCTCTGAAGTATTTAGGTATCAAATTCGATCGATTAGAAACGCCTCAGCAAGAAGAACGAAGGTGGCCAGCGGCTTTTGATCAAGTAAAGTTGACAACCTGGGACCTCAATGTATTCAGCTGCTAATATGGCTGCGTAGTATGTCAAGGCCGTCGGCGATGTCCAGCTTGCGATTGGATTTGCAGTGCTCGCGTACGGCTACTTATCCCTAGCAGAGCATGGCTTGTCAATGTATCAATGGTGGCTCATTGTGGGATTAGTGTAAGTAGCATCGGCGACGATTGGCCCACGACTTTTCAAAAATACGTGCCTCTAACCACATGAACCAAACAGCTGGTATTCGGTCGTAGCGAATCTAGCAACTACTTCATATTTGCGCGCCTATTTCCTCAAGAGGGACCCGGGAGAGCGATGGCTACGGATGATTCTCCTAATCTGCCTTATTGCGATGCTTAGCTTTTCAATGGTGCCGATTTACCAGCTGAAGGAGAGGCTTGTCAATGAGCATAACGAAGAGACGCAGCGCCGGATACTCCTGGCAACAAACGTACTTTGTTATATCCCCGGATTTGGCGCCAAAGCCGACACGCCGCAGTTTCGATCCGCCGTTACACTCATAGGCATCGTTGTCGTTCTCGGTATTGTTATCATCGGATTACTGAAGCTCTACGAGAGACCCAGCAGTGTTATCTTCAAGTGGCGCGATCACTATCGCGGCGAAATGCAGCAGTCGTTTTTCGGGGATGGAGACAGCATCATAACTTGCATCCGTTGCGAGCAACGCCACATGTTGCTCATAGTCCGACCCGTCTTGGCGTTCTGGTTGGTTCTGCGGATCTATGCCGACTTCCTGAATTCCGTCTTGACCGAAATCCTTTTCACTGCGGCCATGTTCACATGGATTACTATTCGTTTTGTCGACATATTGCGCCTTGGCGGGAGCTTTGAAGCCTATGTTCACCATTGGGATTTCGGTCAGATCGTCGCGCTTGCTTTCTTTGTAGCGCCTCTTGGGTCGCTGGCAAGCTGCTTGTTGGGTAGTCTTAGGGGACTGAAATTGAGGAATCCGTTCTCTAGGCGTTCTACTTTCCGAGACATGAGATGGCTGCCGAGCTTCACTAAAAGATCACAGCCTGAGGAACTTCCAGACAATGACATTGAACGGCATAGCGACCGGCCTAGATCACCCCGTGACGAAGGAATCAGCGAGTTGGATGGACAGGAACAGCCAAATATAGCAAAAACAACCCAACGGCATGAACAAACTAGCAATTCGCAGAACGGCGGGACCGGCCCGGCTAGGAGAGCGTATGATGTAGGCAAGTACAAGGCATTGCTGTCGCCTCGGTTTATTATCGCACTGCCGCTTGTAGGCTTCTCAAACCTGCTATACCTTGTCCTCTTGTTAGTCTTGCCAAGGGTGCCTGAATACCCGTCGACTTCTGAGGTACTCTGGCGGACCATTTTCTGGTACGTTATTTATCAGCCCTTGTTACTCTTCGCTTTCTTCCTCGCCGGAATGATTGTAGAAGAGAGGGTTACACGAGAGGGGCAAATGCAGTATGCCTACCGGATCATCGCTGTCGTTGCAGCTGTACTGTCTACAGCCGCCATCTTCGACACTCTATATGGCCTCGGTGGCATTCCGATGTCGTATATAGGCATGGGAACGCTCGGTTTAATCCTACTCGTCTACCTCCTTTACGGCTGCGTCGCACGACCTGGCCCCTTGGCGAAAGGCAAAGGACGTAGCAGGTTTCCAAGAGCTGGAGACGTCGAAGAAGGTCAGCCACTCCTCTCGGACACTAGGAGAAGGCTCTTACCAGAGGTTCGCATTTTCCCGGTTCGTAGGCCGAAGCTATGGCACGGTCCTTCGAGGAGGCCCTCGGCAAGGGGCAGGAGAAGCTACGGTACAATTGATTAAGTAAGGTTCGGATATTACGGTGGATTAAGTCATGCGAATGACGGCGGCGGCGCGATTGGGAAATTTTTTACTGGTTATGTGCTTTTTGAGGCTGGGTTTGGGAATGGGAAAATGAGTTTCATGTGTAGAATGAAAATGAATCACGACGAAACGTCAATTACATTTAGGCAGCATCATCAATTTTGAACTATCTTTTTCCGAATGGATATTGGAATCATGTTTATTGAGAAGTGTAAGCCGCCTTAGGTAGGTACTTAACCTAATACACATCTAGGATAGACGCTGTAAGTTATTAGCAGGTGTGTTTAGGGGTCCTCCCTAAACTAAAAATATCAAGGGCCTAAGTAAGGGGTATCTCATGTATAGCAAGATCGCCAGCTTTTTTTTTTTTTTTTTTTTTTCTTTGTGCTCGATGTGCTTGTTAATTATTCAGTACAGTGAGACAGTCAGTTGAGCGGATGTATGGTTATTAATCGTCACTAGGAGTCGGTTGGTACCAACCCTTCGTGTCTAACTCAATAGCAGATATGATAAAGTATACTTATATGTTTGTTCCTAACTTGGCAACTGAACTAACTGGTGCCTGGCGCATCCCTTACAAAGTTATATTTACGATAACGTTAACCGAAGTTTCTAAGATACAAGTCCATCATAAAATATACGAATGGCGGATTTGGCTTGCGTTGATCAGGTAGAGTGTAGATTTAGACGACCGTGTTATTATTAACTAAAATACACCCATCTCATATGAAGCTCTTTCATATTCATGGGGAAAGGATAGGCTTATAAAGAACTTACCTACATTTATAACGAGCAAGAAATGACAATACAGAACAATCTTAACTCGACGCTTAGATATTTCGGAAGCCGCAATACTAACCGATACATGTACATCGATACTATATACATCAACTAACATGAAACCCAATAGAAGGTCTTCCAGATTCAGAGGAGGATGGATATTGATTCCACGGCCAGCACCGATATCGGTTCTCGCCAACTACAACGAGGCCTACGAGGAAGTCCGCGGTGACGTCGTAAGGGTGCTTATCGAAGAGACTCGATATATTGTTATAATTTGACAGAAGGTACTGTCGAAGACGAGACTGCTCATATTCAGCTAGAAATAGGATCGATCAAGGAGGAAGACGAGAGTGGCGACATTATCCTTCGAAAACTTGGACTCTTTGAAAGGACCTTGACCAATCGCTAGTACGCGGCATAGAGTAGCGTGTAGTACTAGCACTGCGAGTGTACTTTACAGCAAAGATATACTTTAGGTATATTTACCCCTTTACCCCTTTACCCCTTCATCCCTTCACCCCCCCTTCTTCGGCTTCTTTTCCTTCTCTATGGTTGCACCAATTACTAGTAGTCCTTCCCCACAAGCTTGACACTATCGACGACGGCATGACGACGGCATACTTCCAAATTATGTCTTTACACAAGATTAAGTAGGATGGACGTGGGACTAGGCAATTGGTTCTCCGCGGCGTAGAAGGACGGCCCGAGCCCGCGAGTATAGATTAGCAAAACAAAGCCTATTGGGATCTTTTAACGGGAACCCCATTGTATGTATGCAAGCCTATCATGCAACGTATAACCTTTAGTCGTTGATTCTTTTATTCTATTGGTAACAATGGACACGGGAGGGAGGATACAAGCCAAATGTCTCACGTATATTCACAGTATGGAATAGGTGATAAACGAACTAGATAAAACTGTAGCAAACAGTTTCGAGGCATGTAATTAGTTAGAAATATATTCTCCAGACCTAATTTGTTTACTTCTGCAGAGATTTTGGTAACCACAAAGCAGCCCCGAATTCCAGATAGATTCCATTGTTTCCGATTTCATCATGATGATGGGTGCACAGACCACTCATAACCTTCTCGAAAGACAATGGATCCATCAAGCATGTGCTTCGAGTCCAGCTAGTCGGATGTTTGGTCCAATAATATACTCCTGTAGATTCTGACAACATGCAAGGTCCCTGAAGATCCGCGAAAACCCTTTGACAGCGGCCATTGGGCCCATGCAAGCCATAGTCGTTTCAGAAGCTAACCTGTTCCTATCAACAAAGCTCGTGGCTCTTTACTAAGCCACTGCCGCTTTGCTGACGACGCTTCCTTTGAGGCAATATTAGCCAGAATAATCGGAGCGACAAGCCAATAACGGAGCGGTACTACGGCGGAACGCGATCGAGTGCATTCTAAGCTACGGTTGTAAGACGGCGGCCCCTTCTTTCGATCCACCCTAGATCCCTGGACCCCAATATCACCACATCCCTCCAGATAAAAGCGAGATTAAAACAAGCTTTCTTGAATAAACCGGGGACCCAGAAAAACTAGATTGGTGTTTTTTTTTTTCCTCCCCTTTCTAGAGGCACGTTTTCAGGGCCGGACGCTTCCACGGCATTGACGAGGCCAATATGGGGACTCATTACGCGTCGTTTCCGGTTCGATTTCTTTATGGGTCCCATTTGACCACCAATCAGCTTACGTGGCTTCGCCTCTGATAGCGAGCTCATAATTAGTTTCTAGCGCCTACTTACGCCTAGACGCCGCGGTGGAACACCTGATGCTGTAAGAATCCTATTATGTTAGATGATGGCGTGGAGTCAAAGGGATCTGGGGGGTGGCTGATGTGAGTGTACTTAAAGGGGGTTATCGCCTCCTCGTCAATAGTCGATATGTTGTCTTTTTCTATCCAGTTCTTACTAGTCCACTCCTTCATTTAGGTCTATACACTTGAATCAGTCTTTTTCTTTAACCATACATTATACCACACACTCTTTTCTATTTTTAAATATTCTATACCAACAGTTAGAAGTATGTTGAGGTCACTCTTTACACTCACCAACCTTCTTCTATCCACTGCGGTAGCCTTGCCATCCGGCATTATACGCAGTAGCCATATCTCAGGCGGCTTAACCCGCCGGGTAACCTGCGCGACGCAAGCGTCCGACGCCACCAACGACGGCGACCAAGGGGGCGCCGGGATTCAACTAAGCAACAGGGGTAACGGAACTCGCAGCTTCTTCGTGTATGAGAACAGCTGCGACAGCATACCGCTCAAGTATGTAAATGTCACCGCCGGGGAGACCAAATTTGTAGCGTTACCATCACTATTCCAAGGCCGCATCGTGCGTGGGTCCGAAGTCAACTTAGACGGACAGCCACATACACTAGGCACTTGGCTCGAGATCGGACTAGACGGTACTGGCAAGGGCTATGGCGATATATCACTGATTCGAGGTTGCGACGGTCCTGTGACTCTTGCCGCCAACGATGGAACCAATGTGACTACCGGCTTCGACGACTTGACCGTATTAGCGGATGCCCCCGAAGATATCTTCGAGACCGGGAGTGACGGATCGAAAGTTATCCAGGCCACCGAGGGCCTGCTTTCTGCTGTCGTCGAGCCCGTGAGGGACTACCTCGCCAGCAAGCTCGGCTACGAGAAGGCGTACCTCGACGACTACCATGGCAACCCTGTCATCTGCTCCTCCAACGAACGATTCAACGCTACATTCTACTAGGAGAACAACAAAAGCCATCGCATAAGCTTGGGACTTCGGCGTGGCGTTTAGGGAATTTTGGAGACTTATGGAAGTTTGACACGGCCGGTTTTGAGCTTGGTGAAAATAGGTTTATAAATTTTAGGATGGCGGCGGAAAGGCGGAGCCTGTTATTGGCTTCTATAACATTCTTGTGCATATTATACCCCGGTTTTGAGATATCCACCTGGGAATTTGGCATATGAGCATTGCTCCGTGGGCAATTTTCACTTCTGAGGCATATTAAATTGACAAAGGGGCGGACTGATAGTTAATTTTGCTTATACTGAATTATATTAACTATACCTTTGAACAACTTAAGATTTTGAACATCAAAACTTCAATTTGTCTATGCTTAGAGTTGTATTCGATTTGGTACGGTGGGCTTGACTTGGCCACTCTAAGCTGGTTATTCTAGGAGTGTTATTTATTTCTACAACTATTATCATTCTTCTCCTTATCTATTTTTTGTTACGGGTCTACAATATATCAAGTCCCATATTAGAGTGTAGTTTACTACCTTGTACTAAAATTCTGCATCTCATATAAAGGAAGCATAAAGCCTGTATCTTTATAAGATGCGTTGGATACAATATGTATTTGTAGCAACGAATAATCTAGACCCTATGGAAATACCCGACTCGTCCTAACGGACACCGCCCGAAAGATAGTCAATACTATTAGCCAGGGGTATAAGGCGAGCTAGTATTGCTCAAACCGGACGAATAGAGCAAAAATGCAGTGTTAGCCTCTAGAATAGCTCCTTATTCTCCTAAGTTAGCGATATTCAAGTTAGTCAAACGTGGGAAGAGGAATTTAGCTCGGGCCGCTAGTAACGTAGTCGTCTATAGTTCTTCAGCTGAGCTTCAAGATCAGCAGTAGGGCCTCTAGGCCGCCGGCGCCAATTGCGCCACTTAATTTCGGCTATCGAGTTCGAGACCAGAGAGGAACGTTGTACATGATTTATATATTATCCGAGTAGAGCCGCAATGCTTGTTGAAAATTAGTTTATACTCAGGGCCCTCGTTTAGAAGTGAGAAAGGCAAGCTTCTGTCGTTCGTTTTAACCTGCCACTTCTTCGTAACATAAGCCTCCTATTTAATCATGCTGTTTAAACACATAGTCTCGGCCGCAATCTTGTCGACCTTTTATGAGGTGGCTAATGCGAGCAGATGCAAGCCGAGAACGTCGAATAGTAAGCTAGCCTCAACGACTTCTTCGTATAGTTCGGTGCTGTCGAGCACGTATGCAGTCTCGATCACTACTTCATCGTCCTTTGCTTTCGCTACGAACTCCGTAGCTACATCTTTGACGACTAGCGACAGTTCAATTACATCAAGTACCGAATCTTCGTCCACAATTCCCTCGGCAAGTTCTTCATTGAGTTCGTCAGTAATCTCATCAGCCGAGAGCACAATAGCAACTGAGACTGCCTCCTCAACAAGCTCCGAGGAAATCTCGTCGTCGGAAAGTGTATCGGCAACTAAGGCGACCTCAACAATTCCCTCAACTACCTCCTCGATTAGCAGTGTTGAAACTTCGTCGAGCATCACCACATCGAGTACTTCCTCGCCAGAGGTATCTTCAACTACATCGCCGACTACATCTACAGAGCCTACCCCTACCAACATTCAAGTGAGTTACAAGATGCAAACGCAGAGAATCATCACTAATTTCAACGTAAGGCCATTGTAAACTCCGGCTTCGAGACCGCGGATCCTATCACATGGACCTTTCCAGGATATAGGCTTGACGTGGCCGCCAGCGGCTCGCTGAACACGGACCCATTCTCGGGCTCGCGATCATTCGTCGCGCAAGGACTACCAGGCCTCTGGCAGATCCGCCTGCAGCAGACTGTGTCGGTCGTGACGGGCCAAGCATACTCATTCCAATGTAAGTAAAACGACTCGTTATATACGGCTCCGAGACGTAATATCTAATTAATTTGACTTGAAGATACTCTCAAGATGGACCCGGGCGCAGGGTGCATCATGGACGTATTAATTAATAATGTGCGAACGCGACGGCCGAACCTGAATCAGTATCGGGGTCTATATACTACTTACGTTGATCCATGGACCGCAACTAGCGACACGGCAACGATTTTGTTCAGCTCACAGTGCAATTCGGGTGGTCCGACAAACAAGCTGTATTATGATGATATTACATTGACTACGGTCGACGCGCCCGAGGTTACGATGCCGTAGAACCCCGAGTCTAGTTGAGAGGAACGATATTTAAATGCTATCATCGGATATATAGTATAATGAATAGTCCTAATGCCCTTCGATGGATAAAGAGGTGAAATCTCTAGGTTAAAATAGAAGTTTCAATAATGTCCATACGGATTAGAAAATTGGAAAATTTACTTAGCTCAATACCTGATTAGTGGGTTACATCCAGCCAATAGAATTGCGCGAATAGAAGACTACAGTACGCCACTTGCCTGTTTTCGGGCAAAAACGCTGCCAGAATATATTACACCACAGCAGTAAAAAAATTACGTTCTGTTTCTACAAACCAGTTTTTTCTAAAAACATAGGCAGTGTGGCCGAGTGGTTATGGCGCTGCGTTCAGGTTTACCTGAATTCCAACTTCGCAGTGGAGCAATCCGCGTGGGTTCGAGTCCCACCGCTGTCATGATTCTTTTTATGATGTCACCTCTCTTAATATATAAGAGCGCGTCATTTTCTTTTTGACCTGTCACTTGACTTTGCTGATCCTCTCGCAATTTATCCTCCGGTGCATTTTAGATTCATAAATCATCACCTAGTATCCATTACTGTGTACTGTCTACCACCACTTGAATATTTTACCGATTGCTAGGGTCGCCGCCGATACTATCTATATATCAATCAGATCAAATATCTAAGGAACCAAGACAGCGAAACATGTATTTGGTAAGGGAGTCGAGGTTAAGCTATTGTCAATCCCAGTAAACAGCATTATTCTAAACTCATCACCCCCATAAGACTTCAAGGACAAGAGGATAAAGAAATAGAGTGAGTACCGTGGCCTGATAGTTAAGCCATTTAGCTACCTCTTGCAATGTCTCTGTGATATGGTCATTTCTCGTTGCTTTGTCAAATACATTCTGCCAACATGCCACCAAAGCGGGGTCTTAGCCCCCAATTAGTCGGCAATCCATTCATCAAGAAGAAGAATTTAGAATGGACTTTCGATCTTTCCCGCCCAACCGGCAACAGTGATGAAGAGAGTAGTTCTGATGAGATAGGGAACCACGGATCCGGGGCGAAGGAAGAGGAACCAAGTGCTTCGGCCGTAGAGGCGGGCAAGGCTAAGATCGAGGACTATCTTGGTTACTTCAGCGGGCTCCTGGCGAAAGCTATACTGTCGCCTTTCCCGGAGGATATACCGAGATTATCTATCGGGGCCTACCGGAAACTCTATGAGCAAAACTCGGGTAATCCCCGAGGGGCGCATTTCATTGTGCATCAGCATGATCATCCTATTGCGGGTACTCATTACGATCTCCGGTTGCAGATCAACGAGACAAGTAGCGCGTCCTGGGCTATCATGTATGGGCTCCCAGGTGATCCAAATAGCCAACGTTTGAATAGGAATGCTACAGAGACAAGAATCCACTGTCTATGGGTAAGATCCCCTGAACTTGACTTGGATTTCTATTCTGGTTTCTTCTACTAACTTTAGGATCCTTCGTAGAATCATCTTATAGAGACAGCTTCGATATCGACCGGCTCTCTTCTCATCTGGGATACGGGGACGTACACTATTCTCTCCCCGCGGGCGAATAGTAAGCGAGCTAACTGGAACTCGCAATCCGACGGGGAAGAGGAGTCGCCCGAGTCAACGGAGCAGGAGAAACTCCATCAGGCATTCCAGACAAGGAAGATCCGTATCCGCCTTAACGGTACACGCTTGCCGCGTGACTACGTGCTAAATTTGCGGCTCACTAAGGAAGAGGACGTAGCTGGTCGCGCTAAGGGTACACGCACGCCCACGCGACGGCGGAGGCGAGGAGCCTCAGCACAAAGTAGAGGCTCGACCAGGGGCAAAGGAAAAGGTAAGGCAGCCGAGCTAGAGACAACCTCGGACTCGGACTCAGGCGGAGAAGAGCCCGCAGAGAACGAAGAATCGGGAATTGTAAACGCGCCCGCCGAGGAGGCAGACCTAGAAGTCGTCTCAGCGATGGAGCTGGAGATTCGAGAGCTCGAAGATGAGCAGGTACGCCGCACGAACGCATATACGGGGGCGGAGAATTCGATCGGCAGCGTGCATCAGCGACGGTGGTACTTGTCGCTCGACAGGGAAGCTTGCGGGTTTGTAAAGAAGCGCCGGAGAGCAGCAGGGCGGGTGGTATGGGAGGCCGAAGATGTTGGGAAAGGGGAGGAGGATGTTGGCGACCGCGCGAGAGGTAGACTTACGTTCCCGTTTTACGTCCGCGGTGCTGAGGTTGAGAGAAGCGTTGTCACGGGCCGGACTGGTGCCGACGTGTTGAAGGATGAGGGTGTTGCTGGGCACGTTGGACGGAAGGGCTGGCGGCCTGTGTTGAATTGAGTTGGGTGATGGGATGAATGAATATGGCGGGTATACATACCATCGAGATCCTATCTTTGGATTCTTTGAGGTTGAGGAAGATTCCGTATTACTATTAGGTTATGTACCCAAGGTAAGATAGAAAAGCCTTTCTGTTACTGTGGGATTAATACAGTCTACGGGAGTGGCGTATAGAATTTAGAAGAATTATATTAGTTACTATCCGCATAATAAGCTACATATTGTATGAACCCTGTGTGTCCGTTTACTTTCTCTTAACAATGCCCATCTGACCATTCAAGATATCTGGACTCTTGTAGGAAATAGACCGTAGAGATACAGCCAATGTCTTACCCCTATTTTGACCATGTTCGTTTGCCTTTCCCCAACGCCTTAGCGGAAGGAATAGCATGACTAACAATATAACAGGAGGCGAGGCGATGGCTAATAGGAATGAAAATATGGCGACGGATACGAGGATAGCATCGGTTATGTAGGGCGCGTAGTAGAGGAGGATGAGCACGATGGAACCTGTCATGATGCAGAACCATCGGCTTGGAGGCGGAGAAGAAAACCAAGCGTCGCATGCGGCGGCCTCCTCCTGCGCCTGACGGAGGTGCTCGTCGTCTATATCTGCCGCAGTTGTCCTGTTAGTATCATATTTTGGTCAGATCGGTTGTGAGATAATGACTTACACGCAGCGCTGCAGTACCGAATAGTACTTTCATTCATTGGCTCGGAGACGTCCTCCCCTTCGTCTTCGTCAAACAATAATTCGTACCAGCAGTCGAACAGGTCGTCCAACCACTCGCCCACGCTCCTCGCGAGCACCGGTCGGTTCGCCTCGTTCGTGCGAGAGGGCTCGATAAACAGGTTGAACAGCTCAGCTATCAACAGTGATTCATCCGAAGACATTTTTTTTAAGATTATCTGCTTTGGATGAAGAAGGTAAGCGGTAGCTTTCAATACCGGGTGAGGTTACGTGTTTAAGTATATGAGAGGTCGGTTCTTAGAGTTTGGGCTGTTCACAGCTCTGACGAGCGTAACCAGACGGTGCGCTCTAGTTCCTGAGGCTATTTTGATACATAATATATACATCTAAGATGGCCGGCTGTATACGTACTTTTGGCACTTGAACCCTATAAGCGAAACATCGTTGGGGTGGTTAGATGGTTTTATCGTCAAGAGGCCACTGCTTGTTAACATCAGATATAATTATAAGCCTGCTCCTCCTATGAACCCAAGATCGTGCCCAATATTTTTGTAATAGGGGAATTCCAATATCATCGTTGCGCGTCAACTTCGATATCACGATGTGGCCTTTAGGAATTCTACTATAGTACATACTTTAAGTCGAAGACCTATGACGCATAACTCTCGAACCATCAGTGTTCCTATGAACATGGAACTAACCGTGATGAGTTTCCACTATCTACCTTCAACACACCAAATCGACTGCCACGTATGCCTAATCATGTGCAGCTCATATAATAAGCCCTGAAATATAAATTTATAATCATCGTTCCATCCGCAAGTCATGTCAAAACGCCCCAAGCGGGATAGCCTAATGATACGCGGATCCTTAAACTCCAACCTTGATGCTGTGCAATATGGCGCAACTGCTACGCTGTTTTGTATCGTGTACTCAGCTCTCGTGACACCCAACTCCTACTATCTTAAATCGTGAAACTAACGGCTAACCTCTTACGCCTCTATCCGTACCTCATAGGGGCTTGGCCCTGAGGCGGTGCCTGTCCCCATCCCGGAGGTGGCCCTTGTTGCGGAGGTCCTTGCGGCGGCGGTTGATTCTGCATCGGAACGTTATTCCCTTGCCCGCCACGTCGCATCGCCTGAGCGTCGGGTCGGTGTTCTAACGGCTGCGCGAAGTTGCAGATATGGCAGACGACGTCCTGGTAGCCATGGATAGAAAGCGGGATGACGGGCTGCGTTCCATGTTAGCATCCTTTTTTTTTTTTTTTTTTTTTTTTTTTAAACAAGACTTAGGTATTATAGATGGATGGCGCGCTATAGACTTACCACGAAGCAAAAGGTGAACCAAGGATTGCTTTTGATGATATGTCCGGCGTAGTTGCCGCAGTTATGACATTGGCAGATGACACCCTCGTAGCCTTCTACCTCTTTTCTGAAGGTATGCTCGCCGCAGGTGAATATTAGACACATCTTAACTAGGCGCTACAAGGCTATCGCAACTTAAACCTGCGCTAATCGAGAGGATGGTTTAAGTAGGTACCAAGGTAGGTAGATGGATTCGCGCGCTTGAGAGGAAGGTTGCCAAGAGAGTACTCAGTACTATGTAGGTTAAACGATGTTGGCGAAGGATTAAGAATATGTAGGTTAGGTATGTTTACTATTTTTCTTATTTCTTATTTTACAAGGATTAAAGTCGTAGGGCGTGAAGGCAACAATTGTAGAATCAATTTATTCTTTGTCAGTGCCATGCTGGCTGAAGAAGTATTCGCATCCTCGTGCGAGATGCGCGTCACCTTGGGGGGCTGTGCTTTAGTATGTAAAGGCCAAGACTGGAACCAAGACAGGAACCAAGACAGGAACCAAGACAACATTCCAATTTAAGTCTAGGTAATTCCAATGCAAAGTCGAATGGGAATTCTTGAATCACTTCTGTCACACAGCATTATCGATAGCGGCTGGCCGGCAAGCTGAACTCTGCTGAAACTTAGCTGCATAGAACATGTATGTAGGTACCTATAGCCCCACTAAGTAACCTAGGTACTTGCCTATCAAATATCTCGACAAGGACAAAACTTCAAATATTCACACTCACCAATGACCTTCAAGCCTCGAAATGCTCACTAGCCCAATAACAAGATGCTCTACGACCTCAACATCTCCTGGTCGTCTTCGACTAGTACTGCCGAGCTCGAGCGCACATTGAGGTTCAGCTCGCAACTCGGCTACAATGTCGTTGCGCTGAACCACAACCTCGACGCACCTCTACCCTCGCAGATTTCGAACCCGATCCCTCTATTCTCCCCGCAAACCAACCCCCCGAAAACCGAAGACCGACAGCAGCGCATCCCCACCGTTCTCCGCCGCCTAACTGTTAATTTCTCAGACCCATCACAGAACCAACAGCTTCCCAAAGCTGCGCAGGCCTACGATATTCTAGCACTACGCCCGCAGACCGAGAAGGCATTCCAGGCCGCCTGCCTTACCGTCAGCACTACCGAGGTCTCTATCATCTCGCTAGACCTCACCGCACGCCTACCCTTCCACCTACGTCCTAAACCATGTATGGCCGCCGTCGCGCGGGGCCTGCGCTTCGAGGTTGCCTACGGTCGAGCGCTGAGACCCGATGCCGACGCACGCGCTCGCGCCAACTTCGCTGGTAATGTCGTGCAGCTTGTGCGCGCAACCCGCGGTCGTGGCCTAATTCTAAGCAGCGAAGCAGCTGATGCCATGGCCCTGCGAGGCCCCGCCGACGTTATCAACTTGCTCGCCGTATGGGGTCTCCCTACTGATCGGGGCATGGAGGCGCTAGGTGTGAACCCGCGGGGCGTGGTGGTAAACGAAGGGATTAAGCGGAGCGGGTTTAGGGGTGTGGTGGATATTGTAAACGTGGCGGAGCGCAGCGAAGAGGAGCAGTCGAAGTTAATGAAGGGCAAGGATAAGGAGATGGCGGAAGTAAAAGACAATAGGAAAAGGAAGAATGGAGGGGGCGAGACAACTGAGAAAGGAGGGGACGGCGGAGCCGGGGAGAATGCGCCGGTCAGCAAGAGGCAGGCGAAGAAGCTCAAGGCTGCGTTAAGGAAAAAGGAGGTTGAGGAAAAGGGGGCTCCGTGAAGGACAAAATGAAAAGGCAATTGGTATATCAAGATCTACATACGGTGATGGCGTTTGGTACAATAGATTGGCGAACTGGAGATACCCTTATAAAATCTATTCTCGCACACTTGCGCATATTACGTTCACGCATCTCAACGACTCGGTTCAAGGCCAGCCTCGACTCAATTATTTTGTTGCTTATTAATATCAGCAGCGAGAAGCGAAGCGAAGAAGTCAAAAGCTATATACAACTCATGTGCTCCTAGCATCTCGTGGTAAACGTAAGCCCTGGTTCTTTCATTTCTCCATACCAGCCAAAAAAGGGGGTTACTTGAATCACATCCGTGTGCGTATATTAGAATATGAAAAGGAGAAATGGAAGCGTGGAAGGGAATGGTACTAGTGGTGATGACGATAACGACGTTGATGATGAAAATGATAATGATAATGATGATAATTATTTTACAGCCTGCAAATCCGAGCAAAATAAAACCGGCGGATCTGCTGCAGAGGGGTATTTCCTTTCCCTTTTTCTATCCGTACAACCTCAGCTGTCCTCCCCTGCGATCTTTTGCACCTAGACACGGCCGAGGGCACCCAGCGTCAGAATGTTTGTCAGCGTGACGCCGTTTAGATCGATCGACGGACCCTCATTAGCACCGGCGAAAGTCGTGGCGGTAATGGCGGGGACGGCGGGGGTCACGTTGCTGCCGGCGTTGTTGGCGGCGGCCGGGGTCTCGACGGGGAGAGCGAGGGAAGATTGCGCTGCGAGGGGGGTCGTGACGACTTTGACTGTTGAGGTTGGGGTCGCCGTTGATGGAGCGACTTCGGGGAGTTGAAGCGTGGAGTCGGCGGTAGTAGTGCTGGGGGAGACGACCGCTACGCTTGAGCTGGAAGCCGAGGAAGACGAGGACGAAGACGTGGGCGGCGCGGAAGATACGGACGACGTAGTTTCGGCCGCGGCGCTTGACGTTGCTACGGTCGAAGTCGCCGCTGCTGCTGCTGACGTCGATGGTGAGGCGGCAGCAGATGAAGTAGACACGACGGGGCACTGGGAAGTCTCCGTGACGGTTACCGTAACGCTAGCGGATATCGCCGGAGCCGCTGACGATGTCGGGACGGCGGCAGCAGCCGAAGAAGCTGCCTGTGCGGCAGACGATGCGATGGCTGAAGCCTGGTCTGCCGGAACCGGAGCGCCAACGGACGTACCGCATGCGATCATTTGCATCATGGTTACCGTCGATACTTGGGTGACGGTCGTGGCCTGCGTTACGGGCTGCATGATGGTAGATACCTCCGTCACCGTCGCCGCGGGAGCTGCTAGGGCGGTCTCAGTGGTTATTTGCGTTACTGTCGAGGCGAGGGCCGTCTCTGTTACCGTGGGCGCAGCGCCGGTATTGTAGACGGTCGTTGTGACGAACGACAGTTGAGCTCCGCTGTAAACTATTGTTAGCCGCTATATACATATATATATCAATCTTACGGTAATATACGAACTTGGCGTTCCCGATCCCACCAGCGGCGGCGGCAGTCTCGGTGACTGTTACCGTTCGGGTGACAGCCGCTGTGCCGTTAAATCCGCCTACTGCTGCGGCTCCTACCGTGATCGTCTGCCTCACTGTCTCAGTGACGGTGACGGCGCCATTTTGCCCTTTGCCTTTATGGCCCTTTCCGTTGTCATCACCATTACTACCGCCACCGAGACCGCCGAGACCGTCGAGCAGCTGATCTATCAACCCTCTCTTCACAGGTTGGTCATAGTAGCGAAATGTGCCGGCCTGCAACTAGATTAGTATAGTTGATCGTAACATGATAAAGTGATATAAAGTAGTACGCACCTGAACGAGCGACAAGGAGCTCAGCGCGGATAGGAGTAACGTTGACCGCGATACCCTCATCCTTAAGATGTAAGAATTAGGAGTGATCACTCACTCACTAATATCCCTGGTATAGCCGTGATGCGCGACGACGATCCAAGTATATGGATATATATGATTAAGTAAACGATAAACAATATAATATGAACAGACCAGCCGTTTCCAATTACGCGGGATCAACCCGATGAATTTTCAGTGAGCGTGGCGAATAGGTATTTGATCGCTCGAGACTTTCCAGCTCGAACGAGCTGTCGATATTATGGAAATGAAAGAATTATACCGGATCGGGGTCCGAAGAAACATTCAAATTAGGCGCGTCAAGCACTTTAGAGAGAGCGAAAGGAACGACAGACAACAAGCAAGTCTCGAAACAAGCAAGCAAGCATCACGCGGAAGCTAGGTGGCGCTTAGGAGTTGAAGCCATCGAGAGGAAACACCGGATTCACAGAAGGGGGAGAGATGGAAGATCGACCGAGAGGGGGGATCACAGCACGATAAGTGGTAGTAGATTACTACAGTAGGAAATGGGACCATACGCCATACTAGGTAAAGTACGCGGCCCAGATCGAGAGCCTCAACGAAAGAAGAGGAATTTTCACATTTCTGAAGCTCGTTTCGACCGGGGTTCCGACAACAACATTAGCTACCTAGCTCAGTCCCTTTTTCCTCGAGCGCGGTCTAGGTAACAGTAACTGTTCGGCAAATTTCATGCAGGCTGATGCAGGTCGAGGCTTTGACAGCCCGCCAGTCTGGAGCTGGCGATATCGCAGGGATTTCCGAGTTAGGTAGTGGGAATATTCGTTAAGCGTGCTGAGGCTCGAACGTCCCGGTCGGGAAGGGTGGCCGGGGTCGGGGCCGGGGTCCCGATTGTGGGCAGGGGTTGAGACACCGCCATGACAAAGGAGGTGTTTGAAGCTTACATAGTAAGGGGTTCAATATACATATCCCCTGACGAACTGGCGACGCGATAATTCATGGTTCTCGGAAGATAGCATTGATGATATGATATGTAAGAGAATGCCTATTCATCCTTCGCTGAGACGAGTTATGTCGTCGATTTGAAAGACGACAAAAGTACCCCCCATATTCTGTGTCGTAGGATCACTTAGTTAGATTGAATTACCATAACTACCTAGATACCGTGGAGTTCGGGAGGGATAGAGCTGAGGCTGTAAGCTTGTTTTTGATTAATTATTCGGAAAAAAAGAATTTACGAAAAGTCTACTCCGCACACGGAGGGGCGAGTTATCGTGGGTTACGCGGGCGCCTCTTCGAATATAGCGTCCTCTTGGCAGGAGTTTCAGCATGTGGGGACCAACCAGTACGCCCCAAATGTCATAGTAATACTCCCACATTCGTATCGTCAACCGCCACAGGGCTGTTAGATGCTTGTGAAGATGAGACAAGCAATGATCCATTGATCGGAGGGATTTACATACCATCATCGGCATTCGTTAGCTGGGCGACATATGTAGGTTAGGTAGATTACAAAGTAACCAAGATTCAGCTAAGGCGACGAAGATCCGGAAGTTAACGATGATGGGAAATGCTACTTTGTCCATATCTCGTATAACTATAGATTAGGTACCGGGTATAGACGATATTCCCCAGGGCGAAGAGGAATAAATATCAGCCATGGTCTTGATGGTTGAAGCTGATAGGCTGCGGCTAATATAGCAATTTTGTTAAAATGGCTGTCGTGGAACATCCACCTAGTAGTAACATGGAGATATCGGTCTAACTCAATGTATCAATATATCTACGTGGGCGGCAAAAGGCTTTCAGACAATCCACATTTGGGAGGTTTCGTCTTCACGATATGCCTCTCCTTGCATTATCCCCTTTAAGAAGCAGTCACCCTTCAATGTCCACTGTGACCCCTTTCTCCTCAGGATAAGAGGCACTTTTGCCCCTGCCACGACAGCGACTTCGTCATCTACCTCCGTCAAAGCGGATCCTAAGCCGATATACCCTTTGTCCGTCCTGAATACTCGGCGGTCTGCCAGTGACGATAGGGGGATTCTGAAGCCCAAGGTCATTTGGTCGGTCCGGTCGCAGAATAGCATCGCATGAACCAAATAGACTATCTTATCCACCAACCAGTCCGGGAAAAATCTAGGTAAGCGTCTAAGCCATCTTACTATTGTAGCATCCCTCTCTAAGATGTCTAGTTGTGCACGTAATATTTCAGCACTTTCATGACTGGATCCGGCCGCTAAGGTCTGGACAAAGGCATCACGAATCGGTTCGCCGGTAATGTAGACCTCCGATTCCCAGAGCCTAACAACACGGCACCAGTCATCCAGGACAAAAGCACACTTCGGAATACGGATACCGTGGTAGTTCGTCCGTGGGAGATGCTCTAATCTTAAGACTGTACCAACAGCGATAATTCGATCTACCCGGTGGCCTTGGACGCCAAGGACATTTGAGTCTGTATCGAGGATGATGTCAGGTTTTGAAAACCCGCTTGCGGTAAAAGTTAACTCGTTGATATCGGAGTAGTTTGCCAGGCCCAAAGGCGCGGTGAGTCGGGTATTAGTCCAGTCAGGCACCCAAGACGGCAAATTACAAGGACCGGAGCCAGAGAGGCGTCGAGGAACAGATAGCAAGTTGAGATCTGGCGAATGCTCGAGTATCTCCTTTGCTACGGCGGTATACAACTCCGCAGTGCTAACGTTATAGTTTGGTTGCAAGGCCCGAGTTCCAGAGAGCTCGCTTTTAATTAAAGCATTCAACCCAAAGATCTTATCCCGAGGATCGGTAGCATCGAGTATTCGGTATCGAAAGAGGACACTGAGGAGACTTCGTCGGATACCTGCGCGCCACTCCTCGCGTGCTCTCTCTAGGATGAAGACGTAGGCGTTGCGCTCATGGTCGGAGAGCCACAAGTTCAAATGATCTTGGGCAGTTATAGCAGCGAGAAGATCAGTCCAGCTGATATGCGAGTTTCCGCAGAATACCATGGCGTCCGTCGCCAATGCAAGCTCTTGGACAACCCAGACTCTCGTGAACCATAATCTTTCGATGATCCGAGCAAAAGCTGATAGTCGGGGGAATTCAGACTTGTCCCTGAATTTTCCAAATAGCTGAAGGGTAAGCTCGTCGTCAAAACTAATAGTTACGAGCGAACCACCGTGGGAAGTATATTTTTGACAGGCAGAGGCAATATCTAGAGCCACCGCGATGCCCCTATCGCTTTCGTCCTTCTCTTCACCAAGCCATATCAGGACCCGGTCAGCTTTCGAGTATATATCCTTCATGCGACCAACTTGACTTCCTCGCTCGTTGCTGTCACTCTGGTTTATACAAATGGCGTCTGCCCACAGGCTTCTCTTCTCCGACGGCGAACGAAAATGGTGTAGGACTGTGTGAAGGCCGGCGGTAATGGCTAAAGGCTTGCCGTTGCATATGATGCCGACTTTATCGTGAGGATCACCCCAAACATAGGAGATGGCTTCGTAGGGAGGTGACTTGCCTATGTCCCCGTGGGATAGGATGCATTCTAATGGATCTTGTCCCGAACCGGGTAGCAGTGTAAGAATTCGAAATTGGTTACATTCAGGCTCGGTACCAAACGGGACATAGCAATAAGAGTCCATTACTAGGGTGAAGGGAGTTATTAATTATATCAAGACTGGCTTCCTACAAGTAATTCCTACAAGTAAAGCATCTTCAACAGCGACGCGGGAGATAGACACGTTAGAGAATCGTATATACATGATAAATCCCACCCTTATACCATCCATCAAAATTGGTTACCGATGCATATACTATGTATGCTAACATTTTCAACAGATGTTTGCTACCAAGGCAAGGGATACCGAGTTTTAGTGCCAGGCGGCCCTAAAGTCGAGTCCCCTCTATCAATCAATCAGCCCTGAGAGAAGTTTAGACGGACACCAAGCGAATATCATCTGCAGGAAATGCAGTACCGCATCCTGCAAGGCATGTCAAGGACTCGTCATTGTGGATGGCCGTTGTGTAATTGGCTGAAGAGCAAACGACTGAGAATAGGTATTCCAGGACAATGAAGATACGTAGTTTAACTCCGTCAACGCATACCGAAATAGTTCTTAGAGGTAACACACTTATGAGCCAGGACTATTGTATACCTAATATGCCTTAGCTAGTACTACGACAACATCTTAAGTGTTGAAGAGTATGAATAGGATATATATTTCCTAGGCTAGGTTCATAAAAACTTGAAGTAGAATTCCGAGATGAGTGTAGTTAGTGTTTTCTCACCAACACAAAAACCTGACGGGATGCTGTCAAGGAGAACTGGGTTTGTTTACTTTAAAGTGACCAGATGAAAAGTCTTGATTAATAAACTCGATTAACTATCCACCTCAGCAAACTCCACGATAAAAATTCACTATGTACATGAGAAGTCGCGTGTGTAGGTACGGAATACTGTGTAGACTAAATCTCGACGAGATTCAATTAAAATAATGTGATTGGATGGATGCTTGAACACGCGACTCAGATTGGCAGATTGGAACAGCAGTACGTACATACACTAGTACCGTGACTAGTTGGTGGGCCAACGAGTGGAACCAATTACAAAGGCGGCAAGAGCTTTGACCAAGAAAATATAAACAAGAAAAATAAGAAGCCCGCACACCTTGACTTTAACCTTATCCCGTATTTGTTGAACATCCAACATCGAACGTCACTTCACCTTGAACAACCTCAACCTTGCAATTCGGTCAACAGGTCAACATCCCGACCAAATTGCATCGTCCAAGGCATTGTTCGATTATTCAAGTAGGTAATTTTTTTATACTTCTCTTTTTTTTCAATTATATTGCATCATGGAAGTGGCAACTCCTCCGAAGCGCATGACGCGTGCCAGAGCAGCCGCGAAGGATGCTGCGAACACCACCAAAGGTACCGCGACCGCTGCAACCATTGCTACCACCGCCAAATCTACCAAGGCAGCTCCAGCCCCAACAACAAAAAGGACCGCAACCACGTCGCGTCCTGCTAAACGGAAGACTCGACCCGACGAAGAAGATGAAGACAACCAACAGACAGACTCTGAGCAAACAGGTACCATGAATAGACCAGCCAAGACCAGAGGAAGACCGAAGAAGATTGCTCAATCTGAACCTGAACCCGAACCCGACACGGAGGCTCCTGTTCACAATGCGCCAGCCGTACCCAAGGCTACGCGTGGTCGAGCCAAGAAGGTCGCCACAACAGCACCTACGGCTCCTAAACAAGAACCAGCAAAAATAACACGCACAAGCACGCGAGCCAGAAAAAC